CGGGGTCGCAGTGCTGTGTTCTTGATTTCAGTACTTAGTGATTCTGAGTATTTACCCTCTGAGTAGAGGCTCCAGGGCCTGAAGCACAGCACTCCGGCTGTCCGGGCACCGTGTCAGGTGTACCTCATTACCCCAGCCCAGCCGTGGTGCTCTCTACTTTGCTGCTCAGGTTCAGATTAGGACCCCCACCCTCCACTTCTGGGAGAGGCTGAGTTCTCACGCTTACACCACTGTGTCAGTGTAATTTGTCCCCCTGCATCCTGTGGGAGTGGGAGTGGTCCCTGCTGTGAGGGCCAGCACGCTGCCCCTGGTCCCCAGCGCACGGGCACAGTTGGAAACCATTAGCACAGTCTGCCGTGCCGTGCCCTCGGGCACGCAGTTGTGTACTTTACCAAAGCACGGGTTCTGCAGGCTTTGCCCTGCTCCCACGCGCTCCTGCCTGGACCCCCAGTACTGTGCGTGGGCCTGGCTGCATGCTGAACTCTTAGTCACCGCCGTGGGTCCCAGCTGTGTGGGTTGTATTCTGTGGCTCGGTCCTGTCCAGCTTTCCCTCAGCCCAGACTTCATGGATCTTGTTCCTGACCATTGTCATTCTCTCTGTGCAGATGATTCGCTCTGTGCTCTATCTTCTTGCTAAAGTCTCTGAAGATGATGCACGGTTGTTGAAGCTCTCTATGATACTTTTTTTCAGCACTGGGCTTGAACTCAGGACCTCAGGCTCTTAGTTTTTCCTGCTCAGCATTCTACCACCTAATCCATGCAACCAGTTGAGGCTTTTTGATGGTTTGAGATAAGAGTCTTGAGGATTTATCTTCATTAGGCTGGTTTTGAACCACTGTCCTCAGCTCTCAGACTCCTGAGTAGATACTTGAAGCAACTCTATGACAGTCTGTTTCTCGGTAGCCTCATACTTTTGTCTAGGCTAGCCTTAGGCATCTCTCCTTCTGTCTCCCAAGTGGCTGGATGTACAAGCATCTGCCGCCTCCTCCAGTCCTCTGTATGACTAGATCTTCTGCCGACAGGACAGCTGTGTCTGTGACACCAGGCCCAGCTCATGTGTGGGTTGTGCACTGGTTTTGGCACATACCCCTGTTGATCTTTAGTCTGGCAGGGTCCAGGAAGTGAGCTGACGGCCGCTACTTCCTGTATTACCAGCACTTCACATGTGGGTTCATTATAAGTCGGGGCCTGCTGGGAGCTGGACTGTATTGAAGTACACATCCATCTCCTTTCTGAAGCCTAAGATGCAGGGACAGGTGGCACGGTGGAGCTCAGCTTGCGGGGCGCTCAGCTTGCCGTGCCCTCATGCTAGAGTCGGCTTCATCCAAGGGGGTTCCTTCCTTCCCAGCCCTGCAGGCAGGGCTGGCGCATTTTACTCTTTGAGCTCTACTACCCTCAAGGATGAGCAGGCTGAAGTGGCTCTCCATAGAAACTGGACCTGACGGTCAGGCGGCAGGTGCACGTGGCCGGGGAGGCGGGAGTTGAGCCAGCGTAGATGGGATTGGATGACAGGCCGGCACCCAGCGTGAGCATGCGGGGACTCTACTCCCCTGCCCCCTCCCTGAGCAGGCACTGTGAACTGTTAGTTAGGGGCTTCCTCATCTCCTGTTTTGGTCATTCCCTGTTGTGTAACAACTATCCAGACTCAAGGCTGAGAATAGTCACCATCTAGCTGGGCGCCGGTAGCTCACACCTGTCATCCTAGCTACTTAAGAGGCTGAGATCTGAGGATCACAGTTCAAAACCAGCCCGGGCAGGAAAGTCCGTGAGACTCTTATCTCCAATAAACCACCAGAAAACCAGAAGTGGTGCTGTGGCTCAAGTGGTAGAGCGCTCACCTTGAGCTGAAGAGCTAAGATAGCACCCAGACCCAGAGTTCAAACCCCCCAACCGACAAAAAAGAATAGTCGCCACCTCTGCCTTCAGCCCCGGGGTCAGGATCGCGGACCCTGCCTTGCTGGGTCCCTGCCTTGCTGGGTCCCTGCCTTGCTGGGTCCCTGCCTGGCATCACCGGCTGCGCTCGGGGCTGACCCGGCCCAGGGCCTTCTGGAGCTTGGAGCATGACTTCCTCGGAGCCTCCTTGGGTTATCAGTCTGAGGTTCCCTCTTCCTTCTGACCAACACCGGGGAGCGGCGGGAGCCGCTCTCGGCTCTTGGAGGCTGGGACATGCCTCAGCCATGTGGCATCTTCCTTCAGGCCAGCAAAAGGCTCCCTCTAACTGCTAGACCCTCTTGTAGGGGGCTTGACTGATGAGAGCATCCCCTTTGCTCAACTCAGTCAGTGACGAGGGACCTTCCTGATTTGTACACGTGGTGTAACCACGACAGGAGTGATGTCACCATAGTCACTGTCCCACCCACACTGGAAGACAAGGTCTCTGCAGAGTGTGCACTGGGGGCCAGATTCTTGGGGAAAACCTAGAACTGCTGACTACTCCTGCTAGCCCTTCCCTTCCTCCTTTCTCCTTCCTTACATTCATTCTACTCCTTCTCTCTCCTGCTGCCCTCCTTATTGCTCTCCACCCGCTCAAGGGCTGAGCTGCTTGCTGTCACAGTCCTTGCCTAGTCTGTGTGAGCTTGGAAAGGAGCCAGTGTGCGCCGAGCCCCCACCCAGGGCCCGGGAGGCAGCCGTGACCACAGGGCGCCCATGTGATCACAGCCGCTTTGCCGCCTCACCCCCTCTCCAGCCTTGGGACCTCTGTGGACCTCTGAAAGGCTCTTTACAAAGTGTGACTGGTCTGGAGCTTTTGAAACAGCAGTGACGTGTGCGTTGATGTGCAGCTGTGCCTGAGCTAAGGGAGCGCTCCACCTGAGCATTCCTTCGTTTGGAGCACTGGTAGAGGAACCACTCATTATAGAGCAGATTTCTTAGGAGAACAGGACAGCCTCGACAGCCATCAGGTCCGGTGTGGTGGCACATACCTGTAATCTAGATATCCAGGAAACTGAGGCAGGAAGATGGAGGGTCCCAGACCAGCCTTCCTCCTCTACAGGGGAAGGGGAGGAGGACTGAGCCAGTTTACAGTACAAATGGGGGAGGGGTGTTGGCACTATCGGGGGCCCTCCTGGCTGAGCCCCATGCAGCATGCCTAGCCTTGGTATTGGCTGTTTCCACTGGCCAGCCGCCTAGTGTCCCCGTAGCCCCATGTTAGGACACTTTAGGGAGCAGTGAGTGTGCAAATCTGTCCGTGGAGCTGTGGGCAGCAGAATTTCTGGGGTATCCCAGCCTCCTGGCTGTTTTGTGCCATAGGGTAGGAACAAGCCGGAGACTCGTGAACTGTGAGCCAGTGTGGACGTAAATGGCAGTTGTCAGCATGGCCGCCTCGTTAGGCGGCTCTCGTAGAACCGTGTGGGCCTTGCAGGTTGCTAGGTCGAGGCAGACCCATGAACTGCAAGGCCCAGAGCCCATGCTGTGCCTTGTTTCCTGCGGGGAGCATGGCTCCTGCACGGAATGAGGTCAGCGGGTCTGCTGGCGGGGACTGGGCAGAAGTCTTGCAGAGTGGGTCAGAGGCCTGGGGTCTGGCAGCCTTTCCAGGCTCTGCTTTCTGCCCTGTAAGGGGCGGGGTCGAGCTGGGGCCTGACCCCAGAGCGGCTGCAGGAAAAGCTGGCAAGGTCTGATGATGAGAGCTGAGCGTTGGGTGCAAATGATGATGACACCGTCCATCCTGTCCGGGTGTCCTGGGACGTCTGCTGATGCCGGGGCCGCAGGAACCCCATCCTGGGGTGCGTGTATTTCCTGGTCATTCGAGCCTGTGACAGAACGTTAACTGGGGCAGAGTAGGACACTGACAGTGACATACAGCATGCCTTAGCAACCTCAATGCAGGATTTTTTCTTACTATCTTTTTCTTTCTTTTTCTTTTTGTTGCTCATGGGGCTTGAACTCTGGGCCTGGGCGCTGTCCCTCAGCTCTTTAGCTCAAGGCGAGCACTCTACCACTTGAGCCACAGCACCACTTCCAGGTTTTTCAGTTTATGTGGTGCTGAGGAATCGAACCCAGGGCCTCATGCATGTGAGGCAAGCACTCTACCCCTAAGCCACCTTCCCAGCCCTCCACCTTTTCATTTTAAGGGACACTTTATGGCTTTTCTCTGGCCTGTCCAATTTGCAAGCGTTGCTGTTCTTGGAGCTCAGAGCTGTTCCTGAGCGGAGGCCCGGTGAAATGACAACTGTGATATCCTGACACCCAGTGAGCACCGGCCACATGGCCTCGGTGGCACGTGTGCCAGGCACGCGGCCTACACGGCGTGGATATGCTGCTGGAAAAGATGGCTCCCACCCGAAGCTGGGTGGGACAGGACAGTGCAAGTTTTCATCTCACTACTCAAAGCACTGTACAATTTAAAACTTAAAAATGGAGCTGTGGGGGGAAGCTGGAGGGGGAGGGAAAATAGGAGAAAAATGAGGGAAGGGGGAACAAGTTTGGCAAGCAATGTATTCTTATGTAACTATCACCCCTCTGTACATCACCTTGACAATAAAAAAAAATAGAGTGGGGTACTGGTGTTTCAGGCTGTAATCCTAGCTTCTCAGGAGGCTAAGATCTGAGGGTCATGGTTGGAAGTCAGCCTAGGCAGGAAAGCCTGTGAAATGCTTCTCTTCAATTAACCGCCAAGCTGCAAGTGGATGTGTGGTTCAAGTAGTAGAGTGGTAGCCTTGAGCGGAAGAGCTCAGGATTACCACCCAGGCCCTGGGTTCAAGCCCCAAGACTGGCAGACATACAAATGCATGTGTACACACACACACACAGGGTTAAAAATTGAATTATTTCTAGGATTTTCCATGTCATGTTTCAGCCTTTATTGGGTAACTACAACCTTAGAAAGTTGGATCAGGGAGCCGTGTGTTCCCTCAGCAGCGATTTTAGTTCGTGTGAGCCTGTGCCTCATGGCTGCATGTTTGTTCAGCTCTAAACAAGGTTTTCTCCCACAGCGTCGTTAGTCATGTACCCAGGGCTGCCGCTGATCTGTCTTCTAATGAGATTTCCGGGTCTGTTTACAGGCGGAGGCCAGGCTTGCAGCGAAGCGTGCTGCCCGGGCCGAGGCTCGAGAGATCCGAATGCGGGAGCTGGAGCGGCAGCAGAAGGAGGTGAGCCGGGGTCTGGGCGGTTCTGTTGAGGGTGGGTTCAGGTCAGGGCGGCAGGCAGTTGCAGAGGCACCTGTCCCCTCCCCGAGGCTCTAGTTGGAATGTGTTTGCCAGGGTGGCTGCTGTCCAAGGTCAGCCCAGGGGTGCACATAGCACGGATGCCACCCGTGCCTGCCCCAGCCCCAGGTCAGCCTGGGTCTGAAGAGAGGGGAGGGGAGGAGAAGCAAATCCCAGCCCAGCTTTCCGGGCCAAGCTTCGAGCTCTAACTGTTGAACTAGTGGCTCTGAATTAAAGCCAGAAAGAGCAGATTGGTTGTTTTTGCCTAATTGACCAACTTGTTCGCTTACAAATGCCTTACCTGCGGCTTACACGTGTGGAATAGCTAGATGGCACAGAAGGGGACTGTTGGGTCTGTGTGGGGCTTTTTAGCTCACTTTAGGACAGCAATCTTTCCATGTCCTTCCAGATAGTACGGCAAAGGGACCCCGCGCCATAAGCTTTTCCTGTTAAGTAGCTATGAACGTAACGTGTTGACCGAGGTGACTGGCCATGTCTAGGGCTGATTTTCGTCCACAGGCTCTGCTTGGGCCCACACAGCCCGGAAACCCTAGCAGGTGTTCACCTTGGGTGCTTTCAGATAAAAATCTGACTTTTACTTTCTCCTCCAGTGACTTCTGTGCTTGGACCAAGCTGGTCACAGTCGTGTTCTCTGTAGGGTTGGCTGGCCCCGGCCTACACTGCTCCTTGCTGGCCCGTGAGGTGTGCGAGCAGAGGGGCGTGGCTGTGCTTGATTTGGGGAGAGCGCTTATCAGGTAGTCTGAGAAGGGGTGTAGAGCCGGGGACCCCTGCCACGGGGTCAGTCATCCCATGGTCCTGTTGGGAGGGAAAAGCGGCTCGGAAGGGCTTCAGTGCTGGGGTCTCCAGGGACCCGGCACCTTGGAGCCTGGCCCTCCTGCGATGGTGACCGAGTGACCTGCGTGGCCAGGCGGCACACTCACCTGCGTCTGAGCAGGGCTCCGAAAACGCTCGCACCTGCTGTTAGGGATCACAGTGTTCCCTGTCTCCCTCAGGGATTGTAAATACCATTCTAAGTTGCAGTTGTTATGTTACTGCGCCTTACAGTTTAATATTGCTGGTTTCTTTCTCTCCTATTGACTCAGAGAAGCAGGGTTAGCATTTTTCCCTATTCCAATCTCCTCTCAAGTCATACATACTATTTCCAAATAGAAAAGGAAAGGTGCTCCTAGGTTTTCACGTGAGTTATTTGGACTCCTGTTCCTGCTGTTTAACTGAAGCCCCTCCCCTTGCCCTCCTAGCCAAAGCAAGGGGCAGAGCTATCAGGGCCTGAGACCCCGCGAGCGCCCTTCTTCACACTGCTGGTTGGATCCTGAGCCAGGCTCAGGATCGAAGGCCCTTCAGGAAGCACCACACACACAAATAGTTGGACTGGGAAGTGGGGGGAGGGGGGATCAATGAAAAAGACTCTGTTGTGTTTTAGGCCACTCCACCTGGTTCCCGAGACAGCGCCGGCACGGGTGCCGTCCTGACACCTCGCACCTCTGCTCAGAGTGCCTGCGCAGGCCTTGCAGTGGAGCTGCTATTGCCAGTTGGTCCTCTAAGGAACTATTTTAATCGTATTTCCATCTGCATCTTTTTTATTAGCTTTAGTTGTACGAAAGGGTTTCAGGTCAACGTGTCAGCTCCTCCATGCTTACCTACACGTGCGAAGGGGCCTGTGTGTACACGCTAGGGAGAAGGGTGAGCTGCTGGTGGCCTGAGCCGGGGCCTAACACCCTCACTACCCAAAGCCCGGGCTATTATTAGCACCAGTGAACATGGCTGAGCTTGTGCCATCTGATAGCCTGCATGCTGGCATTTTAAGTTGTTGAATAAGGAGAAATGAATATGCGCTGGAAGACCCGTGTTTAACTAGTAGGGTTCGTATTTTGATGGAAAAACTGGGAAACTCCACCCTGTCTTCCTGCCCATGTGGAGCTTCTGAGTAGGCCTGGTGTTCCCGGAGGGGTATCATCGGCCCAGAGCTCCGAGTCCAGCGAGGCGTTGCGGAAGGGGCCATGCTGAGAGCCAGAGTTAGGGTCCCCAGGAAGCCCTGTACGAGAAGTGGCGAAGGAGCTATGTTGGGGTACTGGCTGGTCATCAGGCCTCTCCAGACCCAGGCAGCCCCAGCCACCCTACACCTTGATTTATCCGAACCCTCAGTGCCTCTCTGCAGACACGGACGGGCTGCAGCCGCCTGACCCTGGCTCTCTGGCTGTTTGAGAGGGCATGGACGCCTACTTTCAGTGGGTTCACTAGGAGAAGATAATTTGTAGACACCCTTCAGGAAACCCCAGTGAACCCTGAATTCCAGGGGCGAGCCGATGCTGATAGAAAAAGACAGGACTCGGGGTATGACCTGTTACTACTGAGACGATAAACCTTTTTCAGCTGAGGTGCCGTGTTTATTTATAGTCACAATATTGAATGTGTGCACCTGTGCGCCCACGCAAGCCTAGAAACTTGGTATTTCCAGCCCTTCACTCTGACTGGCCTGGACAGGACTGGCACGGTGTACGTTTTGTTGAATGAGTACAAATAAACAGGCAGCTCGTTTCGTCTAGTGTCACTGCATAATTAGAAGAAGGCTCTACAGCAGAGCGCTCATGTCACCGATGGTAATAACCTCCTTCGAAATAGGGCAGCCGCATCCTAAAGACCTCTGTATTTTGCTGGAGTTTCCCTGGTATTCTGTACACATCCATGTGGATCTGAATACTGAAGCTTCATTCTTCTGTGTTTGGGAGCTGACCAGTGGACTGTAATTTAAGTCAGTACACTTTCTGCTTGAATTTTGTTATTTTCAGAAGAGTATCTCATACTGTTTCCCACTAATGCCAGTACGTTATAGTTACTTCTGCATTAGAAGTTATTGTAATAACCAGCCCGATTCTGGCAGACATGTTTTACCAGGGTGTCTAAGTCGGGATGTGAGTGAATGACACCATGATGCTCTTCATTGGACTTCACACGCTCTTGTGCTCGGCTTACCCCCATTGCAGGGACCCCAGTGTGGCCTTTCCTCACATTTCTGGTTATTTACAGAACCTTCTGCCTGATGCTCCTGTGGCTCTAATTGGATTTTCTGTTTTTCTCCTGTCTCTCTGTCCTTCTTTGTAGATCTATCAGGTTCAAAAGGTAGGCTCATTTTATTCTTCATTTTCTAATCTGCATGGACTGGTGTTTTTTCCTTGCCAAGATCTGGTCACCTCTGAGGAACCACGCCTTGCACTGAAGATGGCTGCCAGCCTCCTTGTCTGTGGGCTTGTCTGCGGAAGCATGCTGCACCACGGGAAGCAGGGCACCCCTCCCCACCCCCATTCCTTGAGGAATTAAACTTAGAAAGCAAATTCTAAGCCAACCACTAGTGGCTCACTCCTGTCATCCTAGCTACTCAGTACAAAACCAGCCTGAGCAGATAAGCTTGTGAGACTTACCGACAATTAACCACCATAAAGCCAGAAGGAGAACTGTGGGTCAGGTGGTAGAGCACCACCCTTAAGTAGAAAATCTCAGGGATAGCACCCAGGTCCTGAGTTCAAGCTGTGGTACTAACACAAAAAAGAGAAAACAACAAAAATTCTAGCACAAAAGTCATTTCAGAATTTGAAGAACCCTTTCAAAGCAAAGATTCAAAGAAATCTTTCCAGATAGCTTTATTAGAAAGATTTCAAAAATACCAGTGTACCTTACCACACATGAAGAGACTCCTGGATATTGTTTTTTAACAAATGAGAAAGGAAATGGAAATACAGCCATACAGTTCCCCGGCTGAGTCGTAGACAGTGTGTGTCTCTGCCCCTGGCTGTTGTGGGGGCAGCTGAGGTTTAGGATGAGAAGGCCAAATACAGAAAACCTAGGGAGAACCATATCCGCACCCCAGGGAAGCCACTGATGCCCCGAGAATTTATGCAGCTGAACAAAGTACATTTCCGGTAGATGAGTCCAGTGTGTTTCCCAGTAGGGAAATGCATCCTGAGCCAGAGCTCCAAACCATCTGCAGAGTCCAGGGAGAAATGAGCAGGTCCAGGGCTGGGCCGGTGGCCTCGGGGTCACTGGTGCAGGGCAGGGGACACTGCTGTCCCTGACCCACCCCGGGGACCCAGCTGGCCATCTCCACTCGCGCCCTCCCTGTCCTGCCCAGGGCCACTTCAGGGCTTTCTGTTAATGCACACACCCTGATACAGTGAGAAGGTGAACTTATATAGGATGCACAGCTGGAGAGACCTCCGGAAGTCCACGGCCAGAGGACACACACACACACACACACACACACACACACACACACGTGGGAGGGAAGGGAAGGCTTTCCTTACCAAAGTAATCCAGGATGAGGGACAGGGCGGCTGGCACTTCTCCCAGCCCAGTGGGCCACTGTGTGTACATGGTCTCTCTGGAAATAAAGCTGGTTCTGGGAGCTCAGCGCCTTCCAAAGCAGTCTGCCCCTCACTCCCCTCTGCATGACTCACTGCTACATCCTAACCTGTGTTTGCTGTGGAGGGCCGGGCTGGTGCGGCTGGCTGAGGCTAGGGCTGCACTGGGCACGGGGGCTGGGCACGGGGCAGGCACTAGGCACTGCGGTTTCCAGACTGCTCTCCCCCATGACGGATGTGGGAATGCGGCTGGGGTTACAGCTCCCCGAGCCAGGTGAGAGAGCATAAATACTGTTCTTAGTGTAACCACACACAAACATCAGCCTATAGGGTGGCATGGATTGAGGCAAAGGAAAAATATAAAACCAGAAAAACTGGTAATACAGACTTCTTTTGGAATCTGATCAACTTGTGAATACACACAGATTTCCTCTGTAAAAAGAGCGATTTTCCTTCTATTTCCTTGTGATTAAACTAGAGAAGAGATAAAGATAAAGCAGGCGTAAGGGCTTCCTTCTTACTCCTGACGAGTCTGGCCGGGCTGAGCTGCCAGCCGCAGAGTGTAAAATGCTTGAGGCCAAGGCAGTCAATGAAATTGAAGTTACGCTCTGACTGTAGCAAGTGCTGGCTTTGATTCCCTTTCCCGAGTCTATTCTAAGGAAATAGCTTAAGTGAAAAAAGAGGTGGTTCATATGGTTTTTTGTAGTAGTTTGATATGGCTTAGTTTTTAAAGCGTTGTACAGTTCTCCTGATTTCTCCTCTTCCAATGTTCTGCTTAGCAGCATCTCTTAAGAGAGAGGCCTGAGTCCATCCGGGAGTAGCATGTCTTAAATCCAGCTGCCTTTTCTTAATGACACTAAACCAAACTGAGCAGCAGCGCATTTGGGTGATTGTAAAGCGTACAACTACATGTACTCCCGACAGCCTCTTTCTCTGTCTCTCTTTTTTTTTTTTGTAAGTGCAATATGAAAAGAAATCACAGCTATGTTTTATGAGATGGAGTATGGTTTATTGTTCCTTGATTTTCTTACTGGAAATGGAGGGGAAAGTAAGGAGAACGGCAGAACCCCATTATTTGAATCCATAGCCTGTTTCCCACTTGATGTTGGAGCTCCTGTACTGTGCTGTGCTCTTCAAGGGCCAGCTTGCATCATGATTTAGACTGGAGCTGTTAGTGTAAACCCCAACCGTAACTTCAGGTGCACACCTTTCTCTCCTGCCCACAGACCTCCACAGGCTCCAGGCACTTTGGGTCCAAGCAGGCCCTAAGGACAGCTGAAGGGTGTGGCTTCTCTGGCCTGAGTTCGTTCAGCACAAACACCAGGAACATGTGATCTGGAAGTCCAGATCAGCCCAGCATTTCTCCCCCTGGTCTCTGGGTTTCTTCCCTTCTGGGACAGGAGCACAGGCCGGCCCTAGGCAGAGCTTCACCTGAGCAGGGTTCATTCCGCTCACACGCTTGCTCTGAGGGCCCGGGAGCTTCATTGAGATGTTTGTGATGCTCCAGGTGTCTCCAGAGGCCATCCTGGCCCAGGCCTGCTTTGTCTGGGGGACCAGTGGCTTGCAGGGACTGGCCAGGCCTCCCGCAGGCTTGGCCCCACTGAGCTGCAGCTGCTTTGCCTGGCATGAGACACAACACCCCCTTCCCCGTGGGCCGGGGTGGCAGGGGGAGGTGCATGTCCCCACTGTGCCTTTGCCATGTTGCTTCCTGACTAATTTTATTTCCCTTCTGTCTATAGAAATATTATGGGCTGGATACGAAATGGGGTGACATCGAACAGTGGATGGTAGGCCTTGAATGCAATTTTAAGACATAAGTGGTTTTTAACTTAATTTGCATGCAGATTAATTATGTGGATAGATTTCCTACTGCAGCATGATTTGATGGTGCGCGTTTTTCTCTGGGGCATCTCTGTGTCTGGTCTGACCGTGTGCACCCTGTATGCGGCCTGCGTAGAAGCGTCCAGGCCAGCACAGGTGGTGCGGCTCCTGCGGAGCTGCTGGCTGGCATCCACGGGAGGGCACGTGTGAGGCGCGGCCTCCACAGCCCCCAGCTTCCTATGTAGAAGTTTCTCCACTAGACTCAAGCTGGGCACGTGTCCCCCAAGTGAGAACTTTCCAGAAAAACCTTGAGTTAATGACCATCTCATCTCACTACGTTCCAGTTGGAACCAGAAGGGGCCACACAGCAACTGCTGTCAGCCCTTCCGTCCCTCTGACCTTCATGCGCCCTCACCCTTCCACACCCACGAAGGAAAACCCTCTACCTCTCCTGCCCGTTCCCTAGCCCTGCCCTTCTGCCTCCTCAGGTCAGATGGGTGCTAGCTCACCCCCAGGGATTACCCCCCCATCCTTGGCCCTCAAGGGAGAGGTGACCCCATGGTGAGGTCTGGGAGTGCACTTTGTGGTGCTTCCCACTGGTCCCATAAAGATCACCCACCTCCTCCTGGCTGGCTTCAGGGGCATGTCCTCACTGCTCCCAGCGTTCGAGAACCTGCCAGGGTGTCGACGTTCTGTTCAGTGTTCCTCATTCCTAAAACAAGATTATCACCCAGCATCTTAGATGCTCCAGAGGATAGAACACACACTTCCTCTGATGTAACAAACATGACTAAGCAGCCTGGCACTGACTCATGCCTGCCGTCCTAGCTACTGAGGGGGCCGAGATCTGAGGGTTGAGGTGGTTCGAAGCCAGCCTGGCAGAAAAGTCTGTCTCCAGTTAACCATCAAAAAAATAAATAAATCAAGTGGAGCTATGCCAGCCTTGAGTGAAAAAGTCAAATGTGAACGTAGGGCCTTGAGTTCAAGCCCCAGGACCAACACATAGGCACACACACGCATACGCACGTATGTGAGTGACAACCTGTACCAGTTTTCAGTTTAGTTTATTTCACTCTGACATATGTAATTTATTTTAAGTCTTATAATAATTAAAAGATGTTGCTCTTATGCCACTGAGAAAGAGAAAGCTGCTAGCTAGAATTGTGAGCAGTTTTACTATCAGTCATGCCCCAACTCCAGATATGTCCAAATGTGCAGACCCGTGTGAGTCTCAGACTCCACGCACTGGAGAAGGTGTAGGGTGACATCCTTACTGGGAATTTTTGTGGAAATGATTTCTCCTCTGATTCCCCAAAATGAAGAATCGGCTTCTGAATGTAAGAGGGAAAGCAGGTCAACTTCAATGGACCAGATTTCAGAGGTTACCAAAGAGTCAGGCCTAGCTTCTTCCCCAGTGCTCTCTTGCTGATTTTCAAAGCCTTGAACAGTCCAATTACTTGTGTGCTCAAGAACCTCACCGAGAAGGCACTTTGCCCAGGGTTGCGACACTGAAGCCTTTAAACAGAAGCAAAGAAAATATTTATTTGGCATTTAGTTGCACGGGCTCTTCTTTGTTTCAGTGGGACTGTTCTAAGCGCTGGGAAGCACTCTCCTCTGCCGGTTTCTAACTCTGCTGTCTCCCTGTTGCTTTGGTAGGAAGACAGTGAGCGCTACTCCCGCAGGTCCAGAAGAAACACCTCGGTCAGTACCGCGTTCCTCTGTTCTGGGCATTGTGGCTGAGGGCCGCCCTGCTCCTCGGGGCTGACGTTGACTACTATCTAAACAAAGACCGAGCGCTGCCTTTGGTATTTTGACCTAAGTTCAGTGAGCAGCGTGTGTCTGGGGAAGGTTTGAGTATTTACATGTTCCTGGTATTTCTGGTGCTTTTTATGAATACCCATGGCTAATTTGCACAGTAATATCAACTCCAAGACTTATTTATAGCTAATCTGTAAGTTAAGCCTGTTTCCACAAGCAGTCCTGGGAAACAGGGCCCAAAGCCCACGTTGCCACAAACCTGGCTTGTGTCCCCTTTGCTCTTGGGGGGGTCTGAGCCCCCCGCCGCTGCCGAGTCTGGTCACCACGTCCCTCTGAGACTTGGGCTCTGGTTTCTGCTCTGTGCCTTCACTGTTGTTCTCACCCTTTCTCCCACTAGGCTTCTGATGAGGACGAGCGCATGTCTGTGGGTAGCCGCGGCAGTCTGCGGGTCAGTACCCTGAGTGACGGGGGGGGGGGGGGGGGGGGGAGTGTGCATGGCCAGGGGGTGGGTGGGTAGAACCCCTGCATCCCCATTACCCCTTGTCTCACGGCCAGCGTCTGGTGGATGAGAAACCAACGTCAAGTCTGCTCGGTGGGAAATGTATGAACGTCAAGAGTAGAAGTTGTTATTTTTTACGGTTTTCCACATCACGAAACCACAGAAGCTTGGTTCCCAGTGGCTCAGCGTTGCCGGTGTGCGGGGTAGGGGTGCAAGGGCACCTGGCATCGTCAGCTGCTCTGCGTGCCCACCATGTGCAGGCCCCGAGCAAGGCCGCATGGCAGTCACTGCTCACTGATTCGTGGGGGGCAGTCTCCAGCAGCCACCTTCAGGGCGCCCCACCCTCAGGGACCTTCCCAGTTAGCAACTATGATGAAATTTCCTCTCCACTGATAATCTAACAGTTGGTAAATACACTCCAAAAACCTCCACAATTATACTTGAAGCAGTCGTGTGCGCTGGGAAGTGGAGAAACTGAGGCAGTTGAAAGTCCTCTTCCCGCTGGTATAGCCACATCTCAGAGCAGCTGCTTTGAGTCTGTCTAGTACTGAGGAACTTCACGGGACTGGAGGCGGGTTTGTCGTCAGTGTGACAGCTGGCTCCTGTCACTCCCTGAGTGCCTTCCTACATTCTATAAGTACGAAGGGTGCGTTTACAGGGCTGTTTATCGTGACGACATGCTGATGTCACAGGTCAACTGCTCCATAGTCCTCTCTTACTGTGCCAAAGCAGGTCCCTGTGATCTGCTGGACAGTTAACGACCATGAAAGCACTCAAAGTGTCACCTTGTTTTGGGGACCTGTCCCTTAGGCATATGACCTTGATGATGCCACTTAAGTCCCTTGGAGGAAGAATGAGTCTGTAACTGAAATACCGTAAGTGCGAAGCTCGGCTTCTAGAATCTGTAGCCAGGCCCAGCACCACCCATGCCCATGCCCACCCTGGCTGCCAGGTCAAGGAAGTGTGGCTCTAGAGGCCTGCAGAGCTAAGAACTCACACTGGACTGAGCATCCAAAAACATCAGCCATCTGTTTGGGTTTTTTGTTTCTGGTAGTCTTGGGGCTGGAACTCAGCACCTCGTGCTTACTAATCTGGTGCTCTACTACTTGAACCATGCCCCCCAGCCCTGCCAAAAGAACCTTTGGTGGAAATAGTGAGAGCAAATCCCGAATTATAGGGAGTGAAGAGAGAACGGGAGATTGAACAGAAAGTAAACCTCTAATAGGATGTTTCATCTTCAGACCCGTGACGAATTCTGTGCAAGACCTTGTGTGCACTTGGTTTTCTCCCAGGCTTCCTGACGCAGAATGTGAAGAGTTGGGGGTTAGGCTAGCCTTCATCTCACTGACGGTATTTTAGCTGAATTTCCATGCTAGTCACCCTTCTTTGCTTACCTCGCTGGCACCTGTGCTGGAAGGTGTGGCATTTTGTACAGGAAGCCCACAGGCAGCAGTTCAGAGCAGGGGAAGCCGGGCGCTGGTGGCTCACGCCTGTCATCCCAGCTACTCAGGGGGCTGAGATCTGAGGATCATGGTTCAAATCCAGCCCAGGCAGGAGAGTCCGTGAGACTCTTATCGCCAATAAACCACTAGAAAACCAGAAGTGGCGCTGTGGCTCAAGCGGTAGAGCGCTCGCCTTGAGCTGAAGAGCACGGGGACAGCGCCCAGGCCCCGAGTTCAGGCCCCACGACCAAATATAAAAAAAAAGGAGCGGGGAAAGTCCCTGGGGCTTTCACTCTGCCACTCTGTCCCATGACGCACGTGAGCAAAAGAAACAAATGTGTTAAAGACCACAGACACTTGGGAGCTTGGGTCTTGACACGAATCAAAGCTCCTAATTTGCATAGGTGCAGAACTGGCCTGGACTGCCTTGAGATGCCTGCTTGGGTCCCAGTTCTTAGTGACAACACGGGGGGCGGGGTTTGCACCTCCACCAGCAATCACCAGTGAGGCCGGCCCCGGCCCGGCCAGACAGAATGACATGTCACTCATTCTCCACCGAGGGAGGGATGTGCTCCCACATTCTGACAGCTTCACTTTGAATTGCTGAGGGTCTTGTTGAGTCTTTTGTTTCCCCCTCCCACCGTGCTGGCCTGCCTGCTGCTGGGGAAGCTTCACCATCCATGCTCCCTCAGAGACTCCTGGCTGTCATGAGTTTTTCATTTTTCTTCCTCAAAGCCCGATAGTGATATACCTGGTATCCTTTCCCTCCAGTTAGCGCGTGCACAGTGTAAAGAGGAAGTCGCTTTGCTCACACAGTTTCGTAATTCACCAATTCTCGAAACCGTTGAAGTCTTACTTAACACCCTGGGAGTTTATGGTTGCCCTCGTCCTTTTTAGACAGTCTGTAAGACCCGGAAGTCGTGGGAGGCATGTTCCTGTGAGGGTTGTAAAGACTGCCTGTTGTGTGTTAATAATGTTTTCCTCTCCTCCGGCTCTCCTCCTCTGCTCTCCTCATTCACATCGTCCTGACAGGTGCAGTCTGACCTGGAGTACAGGGGCCCCCACGCCTGGGTGAGCTGGACAGACAGACTTTGCCGTGTGAACCTAACTGTGTGGTGTGATGCCCAATAACCAATCATGCTTCACTAACCTCCCAAAAAAGCCGTGTGTCTTTGTCCCTCCAACAGTCTCCACCCAGCCGGCTTCCTCCCAGGGGCCCTGCCCATGGGTCTGGGGTCCCATCCGGGCCTCGGGGACCAGTGTTTACCATGTGCTGTGTGAGCACCTGAGCCCCAACTGAAGTTACTTTGTGCTCTTTTAAAAAAAAAAATTTCTAATCTCTAGCCATGCAACATTGAATGTGCCTTTGACCCTTTTGCCAGAAAATACCCTCAGGAAAGACTTCAGTTCCAACCACAAAACAAAGGCTTCAGATCTAAGCTTGGGTTTGGGGGTACAGCTACATGCCTGTCATCCCAGCTGAGCAGGAGGCTTTAGGGAAGAGGATTTGGGTCCAGACCAGCCTCGGCAAAACTCAAGACCTTGAAAAATAACTACAGTCAAATAGGTCTGGGGATGTGGGTCAAGGGGAGCAAATGTGAAGTCCCGAGTTCAAACCCCATACAGCCAAAAAAATTCAATATAAATCTCAGCAGAAAGCACTGCTTCCCGTTGAGGTAGTGAACAGTGACTCTCTTGTGTTCAATTAAGTCTATCTTTCAAAATTATTCAGCAAATTCATATTATAAACATGTTTTTTTGTTTTGTTTTTTGGTTGTGGGGCTTGACCTCTGGGTCTGGGCGCTGTCCCTCAGCTCTTCAGCTCAAGGCGAGCACTCTATCACTTGAGCCACAGCACCACTTCCGGGTTTTCTGGTGGTTTATTGGGCTGGCTTTGAACCGTGATCCTCAGAACTCAGCCTCCCGAGTAGCTAGGATTACAGGCGTGAGCCACAGGACCCTGCTAAACATGTATTTTTAGCTCCCAGTGATAGTGCTGCATCTGTCCTGTGTGGGACCTTCCGGGTCTCCCCAGGGCCGGTAGAAGGGGGAAGGGAGCCCAGAGTGGGAACACAAGAGCACGAAGCGCCGGGCCTTCAGCCTGCCCAGTGCCCAGCTGTGGGGCCACCCTCGTCTGGTGAGAGTACAGCCAGCTCCAGCTAGGAGGAAGATAGGGACACAGGTTCAGGAGGTATCCTACATGGGGTCCGCTACTTATCTGCACAGCACTTCCCTGGGTAGATCAGAGCATTTTGCAACATTGTAACTAGCAATCCTTTTGTATTTGAACCTGTTTCTAGATTGTTAGCCCTTTAATTTTGATCTCACCATAGATTTTAAGTGCCTGTCCTTGAAGGAATGAATTAATTACATTGTAGCAATAGTCAGAGACATAGTTGGGTTTTGTTTTTCAGCATTCTTTTTTTTTTTTTTTGGTCCATCATGGGGCTTGAACTCTGGGCCTTAGCCCTGTCCCTCAGCTCTCCATAGCACCCACTCCCGGCTTTTTCTGTTTATGTGGTACTGAGGAATTGAACCCAGGGCTCAAGCAAGAGAGGCAAGCACCTTCTCAGCCCATTGTTTTTCAGCATTTTTAATAAGAAAAGCTGACAACTGACTTTGCCTGGTCCTGGAAACCCCTGCATGGTCCGGTCAAGATTCAGTGGGCGCAGCTGCCATTAGTTTTTGTTTGTGTGGCCTGTATCTGCTGTTTAAAATGTAGATCCACTAGATATAGATTACAGCTGTAATCCTAGCTACTTTGGAGGCTGAGATCGATCTAAGGATCACAGTTTTAAGCCAGCCTGTGCAGGAAAGTCCCTGAGACTCGAATCTCCAATTAACCACCAAAAAGCCCAAAGTTGAGTTGTAGCTTTAGGGGTAGAGCATTAGCCTTGAGCAAAAAAGCTGAGATACAGTGCCCAGACTCTGAGTTCAAGCCCCAGGACCGCAGGCACGTGTGCATGCACACATGAATGCCTTTACTTTGCAGCAGTGTTTCTGAATATCAGGTTCACCCGCAGAGCTTGTTAAAGTACTTATTCCTGGGCCTTCCTCCAGGGACTGAGATGTCCAGGCAGAGCCTGGCTCCTGGGCATGCCAGTGCCCGAGGCCTAGTGGTGGCCTGTGCAGCAGTGCCCAGCCAAGTGAACAGCAGAATGCCCTGCTCAGTAAGGGGCCCTGAGAAAAGAACTCCGCAGAAAAAAACTAGGACCTGACTTCCGATGAAGTTTTTATTCTAACACTGTGACCCTTGTCAGCCCTCATTGCCCTGCTGTGCCCATACCCCACGCATAGTAAACCTTCTGAACGAAGGTGAAAATCCCTTTTGATGTGACTCAGCAGGCTCCCATGAACAGGACAGAATTCCATTACAGACAACTGGGGAGGGGGCGTTCACCAAAGCTTTTCGTAAGCAATCCTGCATATTCGTGGGGGGGTTGAGGGAACAGGTGATAAACAGGTGTGTGCCTTTGCTCCAGCACATCATCAGCTCTCACAGCTGCCAGGACTGGTGCTGTGCCTGAGGTCATGTGACACGGCAGCGCCCCCGTCTGTCCACCTGCCCCACGTCTGTCCACCTGCCCCATGTGTGCAGGGCATTCCTCCTCACCTTAAGAGCAGAGGTTTCCTTAAAGTTCCATCGGGACATGATTTAGAAAGCCTGAGCTTGGGCACTGGTTGGGAGGCAAGCAAAGGTAGAACATTCTCTCTGTCTTTCCTAGAGGATTAATTAGGAAGTCATTAAGTCTGTCCTCAGGTTTAATTTTGAAAAATAAAGTAGGAAGATGATGAATATAAATAAAATGAATCTCGAAGCTATGCACCCCCACCCTCCCCTGGAAACCTCCACGATGAACTTTCACATTTAATTATTTTAGGTCTAATAGAGTTTAGCTTATGAGTTCAGCTTCATATGGGGCTGTAATTTCCCCGAACTTGCCCTGAACCAAGACCTTACCATGGTTGACGAGGCCGGATCACTTACTCACTGGCCTGGTATCCAGACTTCGTGGAAGCCGGCATGTCCACAGTCATGCTGGAAGACTGAACATAGAACACTGCACAGAGAGCAGCCGCAGCAGGCCGGGCGCCTCGCTGTCCGGGGCTCAGAGGAAGGGACCATAAGACCAGCAGTGACAGGCTACAGGAAGCTGATGGGTTGAGCTCCTGACTGTGTTGCTTTCTCCTGGGTTGCAGTGGTGTGGACAAGAGACCCGGGCAGCGGGGGGCCTGCCAAGATCGGTGCCCACCACCCCAGCATGCTTTGCCCCAGCTCCCTCTTGCTGGCCAATCAGTGTCTCCATCTGCATACTCGTCTGGCTTTCTCTTTTCTTCATTGAAACAGACAAATGGCTGTGATGGAGAGCGGTCTGGATCCCAGTCCCTGAGCAGAAGATCCGGCAGGGTTAGTACAGTATGCTTGCACCGCACAAAATTCAAGGAGGTTGCTAACAAGCTGCCAAAACCTAAAGTTAGCATCTTTGCCCTTTTTGTGTCATTTTGTTGTCTTTGTGCTTTTTTCTAACCTATTCAAAATGTTCTCACACATTCCTAGCATGACTCAGATTCTGTTTTCAGTGGTCCGTTTTGCTAGGCATCTCTAGGATTACAGGTCGCCTCTGTTGGGTCTCAGCCTTCAGCACACATGTACTGCTGTGTGTATTCTGATAAAGTCCGCTTTCAGGGGGACTTGAGTCCCGTGTTCTCACAGCTCTCCAGGCCCAGCCTTCATGCTGGTAGTGTTCACATTAAACACACATGTAGACATGAGAGCTCATGTTCTCCACAAGGGAAGAGGAAAGCTGAGCAGGATGGCTGGCATGCAGGAGTGAGGGTGAGAAGCACAGAGGATGGAAAGCTGAGCAGGATGGCTGGCATGCAGGAGTGAGGGTGAGAAGCACAGAGGACGGAAAGGAGGGCGAGGTCATACCCCCGGGTCGCGGAGAGCGGGTGGGAAGCCCACGGGACAGAAGGTACGCTGGAGACATCTTAATTACACGTCAGGATCTGCACAGCTCTTGCCTGGGCTAAATGATGGAAAACTTGCCTGTTCTTACTGTCCTGTTGTTTCCTTTTAGTAATGAATTTTGTAGTATGAAAATTATATTAAGATATACTTAAGTTGTATTTCTAGGCTTCAATGGCTGGTGCATGCACAGGAGTGTGCATGCATGCGTGCGTGCACACACACACAAAGCACAGTCTAGGCTTTCCCACACGGGCAGCACAGGTTCCTTCGACCTTCCCATGCCCGCTCAGGGTGCATGTGCTTTGGTTGTAGTCCCTCTGCGCTTCCTGTTGGTTTCCGTGGGTGTCACTCCTCACACCCAGGCTGCCGGCCTCGCGTGAAGGCAGCAGGCACCACAGGGACACGCACCACAGCCAGGTCACTGTGCCCTGTGTGCACCGCCCTGTGTGCAGCGGCTTGTATCGCACCCTGTGTGTGGCATGTAGGAGACTGTATGCTGTGTACAACCTGTAGGACACTGCGCCCGGTGCACAGCACCCTGTGTGTGTGTGTGTGTGTGTGTGTGTGTGTGGTGTATAGGACACTGTGCGCCCTGTGCACAGCACCCTGAGTGTGTGTGGTGTATAGGACACTGTGAGTTCTGTGCACAGCACCCTGAGTGTGTGTGTGTGGTGTATAGGATCCTGTGCACCCTGTGTACAGCACCCTGTGTGTGTGGTGTATAGGACACTGTGAGTTCTGTGCACAGCACCCTGAGTGTGTGTGTGTGGTGTATAGGATCCTGTGCACCCTGTGTACAGCACCCTGTGTGTGTGGTGTATAGGACACTGTGTGCCCTGTGCACAGCACCCTGTGTGTGTGTGTGTGTGTGTGTGTGTGTGTGAGATGTATAGGACACTGTGCCCTGTGCACAGCACCCTGAGCACCCTATGTGTATGTGGTGTGTAGGACACTGTGCTTTGTTCTACAAAGTCACGACAGCCGCGTCGTGGCTCTGCATCTCCTGGCACCCCTGAACGGCTCCCCCGAATCTGACTGTCTAGCCTGCAGCTTTCCCTCTAGCGCACTGTCATGTGTGCTGATCAGCGCTTCTCAGTCTGCTGCTCCCCGTCACAGCGGGACCCGTGCCCACGGCAGGGCAGGCTGGCACCTGGCTCTGTGTTACGCCTTATTTTTACGTTAATGACAGTGAACCTGTGTTTCATGGGTTGTGTTAAGCTTTAGGTCATGTCTGGGTGTCGGTGGCTCATGCTTGTAATCCTCGTTACTCAGGAGGCTGAGATCTGAGGATCGCAGTTCAAAACCAGCCTGGGCAGGAACATCCATGAGACTCTTATCTCCAATAAACCATTCAGAAAACCAGAAGTGGCACTGTGGCTCAAGTGGTAGAGTGCTTGACTTGAGCTGAAGAGCTGAGGGACAGCGTTCAGGCCCAGAGTTCAAGCCCCACAACCAACAACAACAACAAAAAAGATTCAGGTCATATCTCTAGAAATCAAACACAAAGGGAGTCGCTGAGCCATCTCCAACGCTACTTGTGGAGGGAAGAGGGATGTATTGATGCCAAGCGAGGAGTCAGAGCGGAGAGTGTGGAGACAGGATAGCCTGGGTCTCAGGGGAGCTCAGGAAGCCCTGGGAGAGGCCGGGCTGCTCTTCCTCTGATTCTCCCTCCTCCCGCCCTCTACCCCCCCATCTGTCAAACTTCACCCCTGTTGCCCCTCCCTATGTTCTTCTCTGGGCTTTGTCATTCAAAGTGCATCTTCCAGCCTTCACCAGGAGGTTCCTCCAGATAGGGAGGCAAGGGAGGGAGAGGCCCTGAGCTTCCCTCCACCTGCACCAGAGGTGAGAATTGAGCTGAGGTGGTCTAGTGTGCTGAGCTGAAGAAAACCCTAAAATTTGGCAATAAGCAGAACTTAGGCGCCTAAAGAGATAGATGAACAAGGAATTTAGGTAAGCCACAGACTGTGACAGGAGCGCTATTTAGTGATGACCTCATGACAGATAACCGCACAGTCTCACTGAGACTCAGCACTGGGTATAAAATCAGGGCCAGGGGTTCTGGAGACAAACGGCCTGGTTGTTACTTCCTGTGTCTCCCTGGCCACCGTGCCCCTCCTTCTCCCCCCCCCCAGCTCCCCACTCACCAGTGTCTCCTTTGGCACCCAGAACTCCGGCTACAGCGGTGGTGATGGCAGGCTGTCCTCCCGGTCATCTTCCAGGGAGGAGAAGCTGGTGGGTTTCGTGGCGTGCATGGGGTGTGTGGGTTCAGCTCAGTTTGCTCCTTTCCCTCGTTAGTATCTGATTTATTCCATTTGGAATCTGTGCTCTCTGTTAAACTTTTTTGGAAAGTAATTGACACGAGTGTTTTCCTTCAGACTTGTTCCACCCTCCTGTGTTTGAATATGAGTTATGATATTCCACTATCGTGAAAGAATGTATTTTTGTGTGCGCTTTTAGTTTAAAATTAATCAAAAGGAAGCATGGCCCAGATGGTAGAGCGCCAGCCAATAAGCAAAAGCATCCTGTTCTCAGACAAAAAAAAAATAGAATTAGTGGAAAGGAAAGAAACAAGAATGCGTTAATGCTTTCCTTTAGCGTTCCTAGGTGTTATCTGACTTAGATACCCACGTCCAGTCTCTGTCTACCTCACTTAAATTTGGCCCAAGAGCATGTGCAGTGGGACTTCAGCCGTGGTTCTGCTGTGGTCCCTTATCTGCTCCTGCATGACACCCCGCTTGCTCATTTTTACTGAGGAAGCCCGGACAGGGGCCCACAGGACGTGGCCTTGGGGCTCTTCCGAGTAACTGTTGGGTCTTTTACCCCTGGCAGAAGCTGAGTCTGGGCCTGGCGGCACTGCTCTGGGTGGGGGCCGTGGCGCTCCTCCCCTGGGCCCCGGGGCTGTGTGCTGTCTCCACTGAGGGATGACAGAGGGGCCTCACCCACTCCAGGCACCCCAGAACCCCATTTGCCTCTCAGGGCTGGTGGAGGCGTGGGAATGAGGGCACATGTGGCAGGACCTCAGAGGGACAGTCCTTCGTCTCCAGGGACTGTGCTGTCTGTGTGGTTGATGTCAGAAGCAACCCCAGTTAACACAGCTGTGTCCCCCACATTGCCAGGCTTGGCTAGCCAAGTCCCGTCTCCTCTGCGTCCCTTTTCTAAGTGCCTGTGGCCAGGCCAGGCCAGGCGGAGGCGGCCCCAGCTCATGGCGTGCAAGGATGGAGGAGCAGCTTTCTATGCCCCTCGTGGCTGATGCCTTGCCCGCTTCTGCTTTGCAATTTCCCCCAACAAATTTGAAAAATTAGAACTCAGACGATCATAACCAAACCTCTACGGCCTTGTTATCCGCTATAATTCCATCTTGTTTGTTCACTCTCTGTGTGTACACGCCAAAGTCGTGACTGTGTTGGGTTTTGCCCGTTAACAGCTCTTTCCTTCCTCCCTAAGATGCATGTCCGCACCTGTTGTTCTGTCTGAGTCCATAGCTGTGGTGATTCTGTTCTCTGATCACAGGGACTCTCCTGCTCGGATCTCCGGCTCCCCTGCAGCGGCCTGACTCCCACACCCCTCTCCGCCCAGGTCTGTTCTCCCCTGCTCCTTCCTGGCTTCCCTGCTGTGCAGTCTCGCAGACATTTGAACCTCCTCAGGGTGCAGCTCCCCGGGGCTTCTGCTTGGCAGGACTAGTTTGTTAAAACTTTTCTCAATGTTTAAAAAAGAAAAAAACATCTGAAGTAATTTAGGAACTCAAATAGAAAAAGGGGCTTTAGGAAAAAGAGAGTCTTGTGGATATGAATTTCCAAAACCATGTCCTGTACAGTGAACGGGGCTCACCATTGCCTATGAAAGCTCATGCTTTCCATAGGAGGCACGGGAAGGAGGCTCACGGTTTGAGGCCAGCCAGAGCAGTGCCATGACACCCTACCTGAAAAGTGGCCAAAGTAAAAAGAGTTGGAGGAGATGCTCGTGCCCTGCCAGAGGACATCCCTCCGTTCAAACCTACTGCCACAGGAAAGAAAGAAACACAAAAACACTCAACTCCAGAAATTCGGTCTCTTGGGTCTCCCCGTTTCCAGCAATTGTTCCCTATTTGGGGTTTTCATTTGTTTCTTTAAAAATATTTTTCTTTTGTAAATGTGTCCAGGAAGCAATTTGGAAGGTCACTGTGCACACTGATTGCTTGGTCTTGGAACAGTGGGCAGGAGGGGCTGTGGAACCCCGTTTCCTGTTTTCACACGGCCGGTGTGCTGCTCCGGCCTCAGGGCTGGGTTCGCCGGCACAAGGAATCGGTGTCAGAAGTCCATGTTTTGGAGGTTGAATTGCCTCTGAGTGAGCCCCGGCCCCCGAGCCGCCGCCGGCTCCCTAAGTGTGGCCCTACTGTGGACCCAGGAGTGCTCCCAACAGTGCCTGGAGCTCGCTCTCTCCAGCCCTGCACGTGCCCCTCCCTCGTGGGTACACTTTGGTGCGCTTGGACAGGGCTAGACTTGGGGAAATGGCAGCGTGGCTGGCGGCGCGGCTGTACATTTTGTACCTTGAGGACCTTGTGGCCCTGCGTGGAAGCGGGTGTTCCTCCTGTGGCTTCCCCCAGGTGGGAGCAGACGTGCAGCTGTCCCTCGGGTTCCAGCCCCTGCTCAAGGCCCTCCTATAACGCTGTGTGTGGCTCCATAGCCTGCACCGCCCTGCACGGACTTTCAGTCATGTCTAGATTACTTCACAGTAGCGAATGAATCCTTGATGCTGTAGGCCGCCCGCTGGGGTGTTGAGAGAACAATTTGGGAAACCGTCTGCACGTGGTCAGTGTAAGTGACAGGTTTTTCAACCATTTTTTTATCTGTGGTTGAGTCTGCCGGTGCCCACCCCTCAGATCCACAGGGCCAGCTGTGAGAAGCACCCCAGATGGGGGCGGGGGGCTGCTAACCCTGCTCTGTGACTGCCGTCGGCGTGATGTCACAGCTTTGCTCTCTCCACCCTTCCCCCACCCCAAAGCTTTTCTTCCAGGACTGACTAGAAAGCGGTTCTGTTTCAGAGGTGCTGGGGAAATGTAGTCTTAAAATCATAGTTCTGCTTCCTGTAGCTGTAATATGGAGTTGCTTCTGTCCAGCATCCTGAGCACGCGGTCCCCAGCGGGCTTCTGGCCTTTGGCCATCTGCACTGGCAGCTCAGCTGTCATGGCAACAGAACCGTCACGACGGCCTCTGCTGTATCTTTGCAAGGCTTTAAAACCCTGCCTTTGCCTCCTCCAGCCCTCCTATCTGTGCAGCGCTGCCTGGCCCGCGGCGAGCTTCCGGGTGCGTGCGTGTGCTCCCCCCACCTCACCCCCCCCCCGCGCCCACCTCCACCTGCAGGCCCTCCTGCCGAGTATGTGTGCCCTGGAGGACAGCGTCTTGACGGGGGCCTTCATCTGCCCTGGTGTCTGTCAGGCCCTCTGACCAGATCTGGGTTCCATCTGCTGGCTGCTTCAGCTGGGGACAGAGCAGCGGCTGCATTTCCTTTGCCTGTTGCCAGAAAGAGAGGGCTTTTTATGCCTTGGCGTCCCCTAGATGCCCATCCATGCCACTGGACTGGGTATTTCCATGTTAGCTGTATTACTCTGGACATTTCCAGTTTTAAAAACAAGTACTTAGGTAATGCAGGACCATTAAGCATTCAAATACTGTAGTGTTAATAACTTTGTAAATGGCACACTCATGAACAGGTTTATAAGTAGATGGCTACCAAGCCAACCCAGGGTGTCTCTTTCTCCTTTTGGACATACAGTGGACACTAGGGTTTCCCTTAAACTGGACAAAGTTTGACAATCACCATTTGTGGCATTGCATGCTCCTGTCTCTGATTCGCTACCCAAGAGTTCAAGATAATCAAATACCATTTTCTATGTAGCAATTGTTAAAGAGTTACAAAATACTCAACATTAAATCTATAACATAATTTAATATTTTATTTCCAAGTCACTAAGCATGAGTTATTTTTAGATGAGAAATGTGAGGACATTCCCAATGCTTGGCTTACCTGCTGGCTTTCAACCTAGGTTAACAAGTTTCTCATAGCATGGAACGTTTGCCAGGTGGCGGATGGAAGCATCCTACTGGAGACTAAATTGCATGCCACCGACAGCAGCTTGAACTCTTCTGCATGTTTGTTCCTTGTGTGCTCCGCAACTCTGTGGGAAGAGCAGGGAAGGAGGCGTGGGGCCTGCAGGGCGGTCCTCAGGACACGCATCCCTAGCGCTCTTCCTGATGTTACGTTTTCTGTGTAGCTCGTCCTGAGGGTCTGTTTCTGTCGCAGGCGTCTGTGTTGGAGGACAGCAGCCTTGTTGGGGCTCGACGGGGCAGCGTCTGTGGTTCCTACCATGCTGTAAGGCACCTGATGTGCTTCACTTTGCTTCCCGGTCCGCTGCATGGCCCCGAGTGCTTGCAGGTGTCCCGACCCCTCTCCCTTTCCACATCACAAAGGCTGTGGGTGACGGAATTGGGAGCCTTCGGTCATTAGTTCGGTGCCCTCACTCATCAGTTCACCCGCAGGTCAAAGCAGGGGACTAACCGTAGTTACATTTCATCTGGATTCTTCCCCTGAAGCTGGTTTGTGATCTAACCAGTGGATGTAAAATAATGGAAGGAGAAGAAAGGGAGCGTGACAGCTCACAAGTTATTGCTGTGTCTGAAGAGTCAAGGATGATGAGAAATTCAAGTCAGAGCTTGCACACATTTGCGTTTCCCCACCTCTCCTCCAGGGTTTAGGACCGCAGGCTCAGCGTACAGTAAAGGGCCCTCGTAGCTATGCAGTAATCACTGGCGTGGAGGGGCACAGGGGCGGAGAGATGACCCCATGGATGTGAGGAAGTGGACGTGCTGGGGTGCCCGTGACCACTGAAATGGGGTGCTCTCCAGGGTGCATGCAGGTACCCCCAATCCCTGTAAGGGTACACGCAGCCCTTCTCAGGATACAATGGCTTATTGGGAAACACTTTGATTGAAGGCCCTTATAATTTTTTGAGATTAATCAGCTATTGGAGTTGGAGGCGTGGCTCGATTGGTAGAGCACCAGCCAATGAGTGAAAGCATCAGGTATTGAGTTGGAGTTCCGGTCTTCACCCAAACGAAAAGACATTTATCAGCTATTAGTTGAGTACGCCAGTCTTATGACTTACTGTGCTCTTCCTCCAACCATTTTGTGCATTTGTGAATTCTTACGAAGTAGACCGCTGTAGCCTACAGTTTCTTTTAAATGTACCTTTTGTGAGTATTAAATCTACTACTTCGCTGACAGAGCATTAGTTGTGTTGGCATCTAACTCAGCACTGGTCAACTGTGCCAGCTGCTTAATGTAGTGGCCACTGCATCGAACATCTCCCAGTCCTTACACACTTCCGGGACCATTAGTGAGCTCACAGCTCATACCAAGGGGATGGTGGATAAAGTACAACTCAAGAATTGCTTGTATTAGAAAAGGGGGTACCCAATCATTCTTGTAGAGAATGGCCCCCAAGCACTAGGAGGTTTTCAGGGGGCCCGAGAACCCCCAAGGCCCATCATCAGGTTGGGGGTTTGTGGGTGCTCTTCAAGCACCACCACTGGTCTGCACCATCAGGCCAGGAGCCGGGCCTCGGACGTGGTACTCCGAGCATTCTTTCGTGGCTCTCAGCATCCTGCCGGGATCATCTGGGGTTGACTGGTGGCTGCGGTGGAGTTGAGGAAACAACACCAGCTTGTAAATTCCTGAAGTGGACCCATGCGCCCTGCCCCACTCCATTTCTAGCCCAAGCCCCGCACTCACCCACACAGGGCTCAGCCACTCAGAGAGGACGGTGGACGGGGTGAAGCCCAGGTGCAGAGCTCTGGCCGTGGCAGCAGATGAGTGTTGGGAGGGGGAGGGGGAAGAGGGGGTCGCCCTCAAGCTCTTGCCTGTCCTCTCCCCCCCCACCCCCCGTCACCCCAGATGGTCTTGTGAGTGGTGTTCCTCGCGAGGGGGCTTCCTGGCTCTCCACCCTACCTGGACACGTGTCCCCTGTATAAGGAGCCGTGACGTCAGCATCCTGCCCAGAAAGAGACCCGAGGGGAATGAATGCTGAATGAGCTCTGCCCCAAGGGCTGGGACTCAGGGCCTCTGACTCTCAGCCCGTAGGGGCAGCCCTGGCCCCTCTTTGGAGGCCCTGAGGCGGGGTGGGTGCCGTGTGAGGGGCAGGCCCAGTCCTGCTGACACAGGACGCAGTCGCCTCCCGAGGGCCGTCGAAGCTGAGAGCCGGGAAGTTGGTTTCACAGAGACGAGCGCCACAGGCCCCTCTTCCTCCCCGTGGACACCTCTGTGCGCTCATGCCACAGATGGCGGTCCTGTGCCAACAAAAGATGGAGGTGGGATTTGAACTCAGAACTTTCTGACTTGTGCTACTCCCCCATTGCCATGTGACTCTAGCCATGAGGCGGCACGTGGGACACACTTCAGAGTCCAGACAGTCTGAGTGCTAGTCCAATCAGAATCCAGACAGTCTGAGTGCTAGTCCAATCAGAGTCCAGACAGTCTGAGTGTCAGAGTCCAGACAGTCTGAGTGCTAGTCCAATCAGAGTCCAGACAGTCTGAGTGCTAGTCCAATCAGAGTCAAGACAGTCTGAGTGCTAGTCCAATCAGAGTCAAGACAGTCTGAGTGCTAGTCCAATCAGAGTCCAGACGGTCTGAGTGCTAGTCCAATCAGAATCCAGAAGGTCTGAGTGCTAGTCCAATCAGAGTCCAGAAGGTCTGAGTGCTAGTCCAATCAGAGTCCAGACAGTCTGAGTGCTAGTCCAGTCAGAGTCAAGACAGTCTGAGTGCTAGTCCAATCGGAGTCAAGACAGTCTGAGTGCTAGTCCAATCAGAGTCAAGACAGTCTGAGTGCTAGTCCAATCAGAATCCAGAAGGTCTGAGTGCTAGTCCAATCAGAGTCCAGACAGTCTGAGTGCTAGTCCAATCAGAGTCCAGAAGGTCTGAGTGCTAGTCCAATCGGAGTCCAGAAGGTCTGAGTGCTAGTCCAATCGGAGTCAAGACAGTCTGAGTGCTAGTCCAATCGGAGTCAAGACAGTCTGAGTGCTAGTCCAATCAGAGTCCAGAGTGCTAGTCCAATCAGAGTCCAGACAGTCTGAGTGCTAATCCAATCGGAGTCAAGACAGTCTGAGTGCTAGTCCAATCAGAGTCCAGACAGTCTGGTGCTAGTCCAATCAGAGTCAAGACAGTCTGAGTGCTAGTCCAGTCAGAGTCAAGACAGTCTGAGTGCTAGTCCAATCAGAATCCAGACAGTCTGAGTGCTAGTCCAATCAGAGTCCAGAAGGTCTGAGTGCTAGTCCAATCAGTCAAGACAGTCTGAGTGCTAGTCCAATCAGTCAAGACAGTCTGAGTGCTAATCCAATCGGAGTCAAGACAGTCTGAGTGCTAGTCCAATCGGAGTCCAGACAGTCTGAGTGCTAGTCCAATCGGAGTCCAGACAGTCTGAGTGCTAGTCCAGTCAGAGTCAAGACAGTCTGAGTGCTAGTCCAATCAGTCAAGACAGTCTGAGTGCTAGTCCAATCAGAGTCCAGACAGTCTGAGTGCTAGTCCATCAGAGTCAAGACAGTCTGAGTGCTAGTCCAATCAGAATCCAGACAGTCTGAGTGCTAGTCCAATCAGAGTCCAGACAGTCTGAATACTAGTCCAAGTGCTGCTCCAGGGCCCGCACGGCGGGAGGGGAGAGGGGAAATGGACGTCACAGGGCTCGGGGAGGTCTCTTTGGCTAGCAGACATTTGGGTGTTTATGGCAGCATTTACAGCATACAGAATAGGAATATAGGCAGCCAGTGAGAGGTACACTGATGTGTCTTCTCATGGACCAAATGGTTGCACAGACCTTCTATGGCCCACGGGCCAGGCATTCCCTGCCCCTGCAAGAAGTGTAGGGAGGCGTAGCCTGGGGGACTGACTGTTGGGAACAACAGAGCCATGGGGGGCTACATCTCGGGCCGGGGCAAACTGAGAGGTGGTACTTGAATCACAGGCACCCGCTAAGACCTCTGGTTCCTCATAGTTTGCAACTAGGAGAATGCCCACACATCTACGGGCACGGTCCGGCACCTGGCATGGTGCTCGGGGCCAGGCTGGAGTGGAGGGGCCTTCAGTGGCAGAGGGGGCTGTGGCTCTCAGCAGTGCTCCTGGGTGCTCCAGGGTCTCCCTGGTCCCTGAGACCCTAAATGGTGTTTTAGTAACATGAAAATGGGTCTGAGAGTAGATCAAAGACCAGTGCAAACCAGATGAGAGTGTGCCCCCACATAATTCCGTTTCCACTGGTTCCCTCTCCAAAGCGAGAAAGCTCAGGTGAACAGATAGACTGAGGAAAGGTAACCTGGTGCTTAAAATTAAGCCTTGCACAGCTCTGATGACCTTATGCCTCATCTTGTTTCCACACGCACAGATTGTAGAGAAGTAAAGTTTTCCTTGCATACATGCAGAGCGCCATGTCTAAACCTTGCGTCTGTACAGAACTGCCGCTGCGCCCCAGCCCGGGCCGCGGCGGCTTGCGGGTTTGGTGGGATCACATGCTTTGTGTCATCCTCTTACCAAGCGGAGTGATTCTGTTCCGCGGGCCGCGTGACCGCGGTGAGCGTGCGCTTGCTCCTAACCCTCACTCTCTCCTCCTCGCTGCTGTGCGTGTGGCCAACCTCGGGACTAACTCACGTGTGCTTTGCGTGGCCTCCATTTTCCTTGCTTCTTTCTGACCCTGTTCCTTTGTTTCTGTCTACGTGTCCTGTGGCGGCCCCGCGGGCAGCCGTCGGAGTACAGCAGCCACCTCAACTCCAGCTCCCGAGCCTCCTCCAGGGCCAGCTCTGCGCGGGCCAGCCCCGTGGTAAGTCTGCCTCCGGGCCCCACTCCCCTCCACCCCCTCCGCCGCCTCCTGCCCCCCCACCTGCCCTTCTCTGCTCTTTGAAAGTGATGTATGTCTTCAAAAGCCAGCCTAGGATGGAGTCTTTCTGTGCTTTATTTCATTCGGGTCCAGGTAAATGAGGTTGGGAAACACGGTTCGGAACTTAGGAGCTGGCGGGGGATGTCAGTTTGCCGTGCTGTTTTGTGGTGCTGTTTCTCCAGGGTCGTGAGAGGCGTTGGCGGTGCTGTCAGGGTCGGCTCCTCGGGGGACGCTCCATCGTGGGGGAGCCGGAATGTAGTCGTGTGTGGTTGTGGTGCTTTCTGTACTTAAAAGTCTCGAAGGGTTAACACCCAGTAGTGGTTATTGGGCCTGAAAATGCCTGTGGCACCCTGAGTTCACCCACTGCCCCTTCGGCTCTCAGACCCTGAGCACCGTGCGGCGGAGCCCGGCCAGGCTTCGCCAGGAGGCCAGGGCCCTCAGCCGGATCCTCCCGTGGGTGTCCTGAGGACGTGTTTGCCCAGGGTCTCACGATCGTACACAGTTCCCTCCGCCGCGAGGCTCCTTTTGAGGCCTTTACTATTGTCTGGACGAGGATTTTGCAGAAGACTTTTGGGTAGGGCTGTGAGAGGGGGGCATCGGGTACTGGTGATGGGGAAGTGTGGGCTACCCCAGCGAGCAGGCCAGTGGCCACCCCCCCCCGCCCCCGCCCCAGGGCTGGCGCGCGGAGCCCTGAGTGGAGGTCAAGGCAGGCCCAGCTGACCCCTTTCCCTGCTGCGTTTACCTCAGCCATGGAGGAGTTGAAATGTGCTTCCACCCTGCGTGTGGTTGGTGCCTGTAACTCAAGCCATGCTCCTGCAGAGCGCTGGGGAGTTGGGGTCTTGCCCGTGGACGAGCCTCGGTGGCTGGTTCTCCTGGAGGTGGCGCTGCCGGTTGGTTTCTTGAATCTGATGCGGACCTTGACAGCCATGAGCTGACGCATCGGGCTTCCCTGGGGTGGGACTGAGGGCTCCTGGCAGCTCTGAGCTCCCCGGCTGACTCAAGGGGCCCCTGGTAAGCGAACCTCCGGGGAACTTCCAGACTTCCAAACCACAGGGGACACGGGCTTCTCTGTAATAAACTTAATGTAAACTCCTCCTCGCTTCTGCACGCTTCTCTCACCCACTCCTCCCTTCTGGGGGGGGCGAAAAATAAGGATTTACAATTTACAAAAGGTGACTGCCTTTAGCTTCCAAGCCCCCCAGCACCTCAGCGCCTCTGCCTGGAAGCCCTGGCTTCAGTTCACACTGATGCCCAGCATCGGTTCACACGTTCCGTGGCTCTGCTCAAGATCAGCATAAAGTCACAGCATGGCACAGCCGTTTTGGACAGACGGAAATTTGGTGAAAATTCATCTTTCATATGCTTTCTAAGTTTGTGGAGAATTTGCTCACATGAAACGGCCCTAAGTAGAAAGAGAGACACCCACAGTACATTCTGAGGGTTTTTGGATGTCCTGGGGATCCCCGGGGCTGAGGAAAAAAGGAGGTACTCTGTGAGGAGGCTGGTGGGTCAGAGCAGAGCCCAGCGATGCCCAGACCCACGGCGCGTCCATCTTCTCTGGGCGGGAAGGCACGCGTCCTCTGGGGGGACTGGAAGCGGCGGTGGGGAAGCCTCCGCTCTCCAGCGCTGGTTTTCCAGTTCCATGCAGAGATGATTCGAGCGATTATTTTTCTTCCTGGGCCAACTGCTCATTGCACAAAGGTCAGTAGACGGTCATGCCGTTTTCTGGCTCACTTGTGAGCAAAGGTCAGAATCTAGCAGTATGACCAAGGCAGTCAGCACCCCACATGGTGGAGGCCTCGTGTGTGTGCGTGTGTGTGTGGTTGTTGACCTCTGTCCAGTGTGCGGCTCCCTAGAAGGCACAGCAGTTGCAATCCCCGCTGGCCCCAGGGCTGGAGAGGGAAGGTTCCGGCACACCCTGCTGTCTGTCACCAGGGCGAAGGCAGACGCGCTGTCACCTCCACAGCTCTTGCTCCTCTCAGGCCAGATCAGCACAAGTCTGTTTCCTGTCCCCGAGTGTCACACCAAGGCAGGGCCGGCCTGTGCTGGGGGCTGGGTAGACAGACGGCATCCACGGGTGTTCGGCCTTTGTGGTGGGAAGAAGCCCAGAAGGCTGAGCCTAGATCTCCCGGCCTCCTGCGTGAGAGGGAGGTGCTGTAGGTCAGGGGCAGGGCCGGGGGGGGGGAACAAGGCCAGGGCCAGTGACCCTCCAGCCTGGCCTTCCAGGGAGGGGCACAGAGCAGGAAGTAGGCTGGGGCAGGGAGTTCCGGGCCGATTCAAGGGCCACGGCTCTCTGCCTGGCTTTGGACATCCAGCCAGGTGTGTTCTTGAGCTGCATGTGGACAGCACAGTAGTGGCAACTTTAGAAGCAGCCTCCCTCCCTACATAGAAAAAGCTCAGTTAACTTGTGTCTGATGGGCTGGAGTTGTCCTGGCCATAACATGATGGAGTTATTCATCTTCCGAGACTGGTGGAAATGATCTCAGAGGTCTGTGGCCAGGGACAAAGGGCAGGGCTCCCCAGGGAGGAAACACAAAGTGAGCTGGTGCCATGCCCAGCCAGCTTGTCTCACATCCTCAGACGAGGAAGCGAGGCTGGTGCCCGGGGCAGGGGAGAGGCGGCCTCGGGACTACAGCTTGCCCCACGCGGCAGGGTTACCGCCCTTGGGAAAGCAGAGAGCTGTCAGAACTGGCTCACTCTCCCCATTCCCACCCCGGGATGAGCCGCCTTCTTCCCTCCCCCAGCCCAGGATCTCCCTGAGGGAATCTCGCAGCATTTATGGAGCAGGTAGAATCACCAGGGGACAGCGTGACCAGCACGGACCCACCCCTGCCCTCCCGGAGTAAGCAGACTGGGGCGGGCGATGCCGTGGCCTAGATAGCATGAGCCCTTAGCAGGGCAGACTCGGAGGGTGGATGTTTGGAACGGAGTCTACCGACGGGGCCCGAGCCACGCCCAAGCAGAGAGAGCAGCTGGCGGGAAGCCAGCCCACTGTGTCACCCCGGCCTCACCATCCCCCAGGAGTTCTGCGCGGCCACCACATTGCTGAAACATCCTTCGGGAATGTTCTGAGTGGAGCCGGGGCCCGTCGATCTCCTCGCCTGTTCCGGGAGAGCGTGGATGGTGAGCCAGGCTCGCTGCCCACTGGAACGAGAGACAAAGCCCCCTGCGCCTCGGGAGAGAGGCGGGCAGCCGCCAGGTGGAGAGCAGGCCTGGAACCAGTACAGCAGTTCCAGGATGAGTCACTCAAGAAGATACGGATGTTACTGGAATTAGAGCAGCGAACCCTGGCCCTAAACGTAGACTCTACAGTTATTTAAATAAGGGAAACTACCCATAACATGAGTGTGGCCCAAGCATTGCTTGCTGTCCACTTCGTGTTTTAGGCGGGACATTGCCATAGCAGTGATATGGGGGTTTTGTTTCCCCCCTGGAGCTGGCTAGGTGCTGGCTGGGCATTGGGGAGTCAGACTCCCCACAAGAGAGCTGTGTACATGGACAGGCACCCCCACATTGAACCAGAAAAGGGTGACATGGAAAACCTAATACATGAAAACTCAACGTGTGTCCATGAGGCTTTGTGGTAAACCCATCTCCATATATCTTGTTAGAGGTGGGCTTAATATCAATATTAAGAAATAATCGCTATCAATAAAGTATGGCTGCTACATTAACATGTTTGGAAAAGAAAGTACACGCAGAAGCTAAATTTCCACTGATATGTTTTGGAAGTGACATTTGCAATAGATTTTAAAAAACAGTTTTGCATATATTCAGTGGTGGTTAGGAAAGACCAGTTGAGGTCATTTCTTTCTTCTTTTTTTTTGGTCAGTCACGGGGCTGGAACTCTGGGCCTGGGCGCTGTCCCTTAGCTCTTCAGCTCAAGGCTAACGCTCCACCACTTGAGCCACAGTGTCACTTCTGGTTTTCTGGTGGTTTATGGAATATGTGAATCTCATGGACTTTCCTGCCCAGGCTGGCTTTGAACCAGGATCCTCAGATCTCAGCCTCCTGAGTAGCTAGGAATACAGGCATGAGCCACTGGCGCCTGGCTAGTAAAGGTCATTTCTAAACCCTTCAGTGTGAAGTTTTCACACCTGACTCAATGCTAAGTAGCAATCAGAAAATGGAGGTGATAAAGCCACGTACTCTTGCCCTTTCCACAATGGGAGGCCCACGTCCCAGACTCCAGTGGCTTGTGGTCTGCTGTGCTGTGGGGGGGCCCTTGGAGTGGTCCGGCCAGCAGCAGCCCCAGTCCCGCTCCGCCTGCTCTGTCCTGCTGGCTTTGTCTCCTCACAGACCCACCAGCTCATGCAGCAGCCATGTGTCAGAATCCTGTCATCCCTCCATTTCTTGGTGTGTTATTTTTAGGGGTTGATGTGTTTTATGTCAGAATTAAGCACACCATCTGGCTCACTTATCTGCCTTTTGTGTGGAGACTTAGGATAGGCGCACACACGCTGACCCCAGGCAGCCTGACAGTGCTGCCATCTAGCAGAAGCCAGTGGCATGGTGGCTCCACGGGTGTGTCCCTCCCACTACCCCACAAACTTAAGTCCGAGGATCGCTGACAACTATGTGTCCCTTTGAATTTGGAAAACAAAGTGGAATTCACTGTATTATTTTAAAGAGACGTTTGCTATGTCTTTAAGAGCTTAATTTTTAATTTTTCTCTGTATAACCTCCACTTAAAAACATACCCCAAGCAGGGAACTGGTGACTCATGCCTATAATTCTACTAACTGCTCAGGAGACTGATATCTGGAAGATCAAGATCCCAAGACAGCCCAGGACTATATCCAAAATAACCAGCAAAAAGCCCAGCTGGAGTCATAGTTTAAGTGGTGGAATGTAGCTGAGCAAAAATGAGCCCCTGAGTTCAATTCCCAGAGGAAGGGGTAGAGAGGAAGGAGGAGGAGGAGGAGGAGTGTGTGCATGAGGAGTAGTTATACTACTCCCCTTGGTTTTATCTCACAAATTCAGTCTGAGAAATTAGGCCTTGGGCCCGGGAGGTTTAGTGAGTTGATTTCTCAGCCGGGAGGTGCAAGACGCCGTGCTTTTCCTTTATTCCCTGATTTGGGGTTGGTTGGGTTCTGTTTTGCTTTTTTAATTGCCTTTTTTTTCCGACTTTGTCTTGTGGCTGGGGTTTTTGACACAGGCTCTCTGTGTGACAGTCCAGGCTGGCCACACTTATGATCCTCCCACCTCTGCCTTCCTAGTGCTGGGATTACAAGCAGACCCTACCACGCCAGCTCAGTTTCCTGACATTTTCATTTGAATATTTCAGAAATACTTTGATTCTCAGGTAGAAGGGCCATGGCTGAAATGCTCAATTGTCCTCATAGCACGGATTGTCCAGTGGAGCTTTCCTGCACTGCCGGGGGGCGGGGGGGGGGGAGCGAGGCCTCCCTGCCTTGTCGGTTGTCTGCCTCCGCACCCCAAACTGTGTATTCAAGCCAGTGTGCGGCACACGCATCTGAGAAGCACATCCTCTGTGCTCCACTGTGTGCAACTGAGGTGGCCGCTTGTCTCGGTGGCCACTTCTGGTCTCTTGTCCGTGAAGGGAAGGTTGGAAGTTCAAGGATTCTGGAGGCAGGAAGAGAGCGGTTGGTGTGCCTTCTTGGAGAGGAACCAGAAGATACAACCTGAGTTTCTGGCCCAGTGAGAACTCAGTGTGTTTTTCTGGAGATGGCCAGCTTGTACCGGCCTCCCCACAGCTAACTCATTGGTGGGTCCCAGCCCTGGATGTCTGGTGGAGCCTGATTGGTCCAGTTTTCTTTCTTCAGCATGTGTGTCTTCAGCATCCCAGACCACTAGGATCTATCTGCTCAGCCCGAGCTGTGACCTGCCTTTGCCAGCCAAGGTTTGGCTCTCTGTTGATTGGGATCAACATTGTCTGGGCTGCAGGAAGTAGCTCTGGAGACGGACAGGGAAGAGTAGGGGGTTGATAGCTCTCGCAGCGTTTGGAGACAGACTCAGCTTTCTGGAAGAGGCACCTGCAGTGTGCAGAAACTTGGTCTCTTGCTGGATGCTGAGCTGTGGAAGAAGTAGCTCCCAAGCCAGCTCAGCCCAGGCTCCTGGACCCCCTCGCAGCCAGGCAATCCTCCCGCTCGGGCCCAACACCAGTGTGGCCCTGCTCGTAGCTCTGTAGGCTGTTCTGGGTCCCACTGAGGCTCTGCTGTCCATACAGGACAGACGGGAAAGGCCCAATTCTGAAGAGTTTCACCTTTTAGTTTTTAAGTGATGGAAGAAACTCAGATTTTGTATTTGTTTCATGTTACTCCCTAAGCAGGTATTACCCATTTAACATTTTAAAGTATTTCATATTTATCCATTTCCTTTACAGGTTGAAGAGAGGCCAGAGAAAGATTTTACTGAGAAGGTAAGGAATTTCTGTCTGTCTTGGGGGGTCATTCATTAATTAGAGGGTCCTGAAACCCACAGGTGAGACTCAGGGGAACAGGTCGCTGGCGTTTAGTAAAGGTGTTCACCCTCTCGTGAGGCTCGGTCGGTGGCCTGCCAGCGTGCTGTCTTTTGAGCCACTTAGAGTGTCCTCGCTGAATCGTGCAGACAGCAAAAGCCCAGCACAGCGACAGCCCTACCGGGTCCTGGGCGTCTGAAAATGAACCCATCTTTACAGCATACCATAAGCCCGTGGCAGACTTGCCAGTGTAGCCTCTGGATTAACGAAAAGCCGCCGTGGGCTGGGGATGTAGCTCGAGGGGTGGAACACTCCCTCGCAGGACAGGCTGCTGTTCCGTAGGCTGGTGAGTCACGTTGGGTTTGTCTGCGATCACATGTGGTCCTCCACACTGCAGGGGTCTCGCAACATGCCTGGCTTGTCGGCCGCCACGCTGGCCTCTCTGGGCGGGACTTCCTCCCGGAGGGGAAGCGGAGACACCTCCATCTCCATGGACACCGAGGCTTCTATTAGGGAAATTAAGGTAAGATGCTCATCTGACAAGCTTAGCCCCTGCCCTCCCGACAGCTCAGAGTTCTCTTGACCAGGACGCGGGGCAGGTCATGCCCACCGTGGGGCAGGCCTTGCTGCCCCCTCTGCCCTTCCCTGCTTGGGCCAGCACTCTCCCCACTGTTGAGCTGACTGCGCACCCCTGTGAGCCCTTGCGCATACTTTCTGGGTCTTCAGGCAGCCGATGCATGCCAGGCCCTGGCACAGGCCCTGCCCTGGCCCTGGCACAGGCCCTGCCCTCGGACGCCTTCTCTGTGGCCTGGAATGTGCCTTTCCCTTTTGTGGACCCTGCCCCCATGGTTTAACGGCTTGCTCTTCCGCTGTGAGCGCAGGCGTCATTCTCCATTATACCCTTGTCACCAAGGGTGGGGCCAGGCGCCTGGTGATATTCTCTGTGTGAGAGAGAAACCCAGCACAGTACTTTGTGTTCAGGACACTGGGGCAGGTGCACCTGACCAGGGAAAGCTTGGGCACCAGAGGGCAGAGCCGGGCCGGGTCGTGTCGGAGTCTGCTGTGACTGCTTCAGTGGGTGGCCCTTTGCTCCTTACAGCTGGGGGCGCAAGGCGTCCGGCCCACTGGTGCTATCTGAACACCCCGAGACCGAAAGACACTGAAGCACCCCACAGGGGCTCCTGTGCGGAAGCAGGGCCCGGCAGTTATGCACATGCCAAAGCAGAAAGAGGCTTTTAGCCACTTTCCCTGGAACTGCAGCTGCAAGCCCCACAGCACCTCGTGGGAGTCTGCTCAGCACACAGGTGCAACGGGCTGCCATCCTACTGGATCGAAGCCGTAGGCATTTGTCCAGCAAGTACCAGACACTGCACCCAGGCACTAGGAAGTTGGTGGTGAGGAAGACAGGCAGGGGGAAGACTTGGAGGCTCAGGGGCAGGGGCAGCGCGTGCTGACCTCCAACGCCACCATCACAGCGTGGATCTCAGAGTCTTTACAAACTGTGAAATACCCACTTCCAACAGAAAACCCTTAGCATAGCTGCATGCGCCTCTTATCCCAAGTGTGCAAGAAGTGTAAATAGAAGGATCGCGGTCCAGGCTGGGTAAGGCAAAAAGCAAGACCATGCATCAAAAATAACCAAAGCAAAAGGGCTAGAGGCAAGGCTAATGAAGCTGTGGGGTACCTGCTTGACAACTACTGAGTGAAAACCTAGTACTGCAGATGGGGGGGGGGCGGGGGATTCAGCACACACTGGGCATGGTGGTGCAGACCTGTAATCCCAGCACTTGGGATGCTGGGGCAGGAGGATGGTAAGTTTGGGGCTAGGCTGAGCTGTACATCGAGTCTGAAGTCAGCTTGGGCTACATAGCAAGGACCTGTTTCAGAAAACTGTGTGTGTGTGTGTATATATATGTGTGCGTGCATACATGTGCATCACTCCTGGGGCTTGAACTCAAGGCCTACACATTGTCCCTGAGCTTTTTTGCTCAACGCTAGTACTCTCCCACTTGAGCTGGAGCTCCGTGTGTGTGTGTGTGTGTGTGTGTGTGTGTGTGTGTGTGTGTGTGTGTGTGTGTGTGTATTTAATTAGAAATAGTCTTCATAGACTTTCCTGCCCAAACGGGCTTCAAACTTCAATTCTGAGATCTCAAAGCTAGGATTACAGGAATGAGCCACCAGTGCCTGGCACAAAAACCAATTTTTTTGAAGGTTTCCCAGAAGAAAGGACCTAGATGTATAAAAGCTTCGGGGGGGGGGGTGATCTCTGTCCATTCTTTTCCTAGACATCATTTACCTTTTGTGCCATTTCTCCCAGGAACTCAATGAGTTGAAGGACCAGATTCAGGATGTAGAAGGCAAATACATGCAGGGACTGAAAGAGATGAAGGTACCATTTACAAGTGTGTGGCCACAGTACTAACGCACCCATACTGCGGCCGACCCGCACGGCCTGGGCGTGTGCTCAGCCTGCAGAGGCCCTGCGTGCAGAGACGGGGGCGGAGGAGGCAGCATGGTGTGCGTTCCTCTCCTGTGCAGCTTCTGAACCGAGGCCGAGAGTTGGGACCCTCGTAGGAGAGGTCACCACCACATTTAGTGTTTCGTGCTTACTGCCCAGATTTGGTTCTTTCCCTTTCTGCAGTGGCCACATACAGGCATGTTAGGTCTGATTTGCTTCACGGTTCTTCCATGTCCTAACACGCATGCTCTCGCACCATGGAGATCGCTTGCATGCTGTGAGGTGTTGCTGGTCAAAGCAGGTCTGAATGTATGTCACCCTGGAGCTGTCTACACGCACCGCTCCTTTCGGGATGTGCGGGAACCAGCAGGTTACAGTGGGTAGTATAGCAGCTGCCCCGAGGAAGTCGCTGCCAAGGAACAGGGCCAGGAGGTCCTTCGGGCAGCACTGACAGACAGAGCTGACTCAGTCAGCAGGTGGTGGATTGTTACCCTGCCTTCTCATCTCCCCAGAAAATACCCAGCCAATCGTCTGACGTCAGGGTTGACAGACGCCAAACAGATCACCTGACTAACTCATCCTGTTCATAATTGTCGGCTCTACTTAAAAGAGGAAAAAATTAAGCCGGGCACTGGTGACTTACACCTGTCACTCTAGCTACTCAGGAGGCTGAGATCTGAGGATCACGGTTCAAAGCCAGCCTGGACAGGGAAGCCCATGAGACTATGAGCTGTGGCTCAAGTGGTAGAGCACTAGCTTTGAGCTAAAGAGCTGAGGGACAGCGCCCAGGCCCAGAGTTCAAGCTCCACAACCAGCCAAAAAAAAATTTTTAGGTGGGGGGAGTTTAAGACTAGCTCTCAGCTGGTATAAATGGGGAGCCAGTGAGCCGTTCGGTACACACGTGCAGGCCGAGGCCAGGTCCACCCTGGGCAGCCTCCCCACAGGACGCCAAGCTGCTCACGCCTCTCATTGGCTTCAGGTCGTTGGCCCCGGTCGCCATCTCCGCCCACTCTGTTCCCTCGGCCCTGGCCTCCCTGTGTGCATGGTTTGGGACCTGCCAGAGCCCCCCGGGAGGCACGAGGCACGGCGTGCGCTTCCCGCCGAGCCCTCTAGGAGGTTCCCGTGACCCTGCCCTCCCCACGGTCTGCTTGTGGACACCTGTGGGCCTCCATTTCCTGATGGGTCAGAACTCTGACGTCACCACTAATCCTTCCCTAGTGCCGTAGTCAGAACAGGGACCCCAGGCGCCCGTGGTGGCGCCGAGTGAACTGCCAGGGCCCGGCGGCGTCCCAGGCTCTGCCACACATCTTGTGTGATCACCTCAGCAACCGTTCAGGCGGCCGGTCCCTGTGGAGGAAGACTGTGTCCCTGAACAGTGGCCTCAGCCACCGCTGCCGTCCTGACCAACCCTTGACATAGGAGGGGGCCTTCACCCCAAGACGGTTGGGAACTACTTGTCTGAGCGATGAGAAACTGTGCACTGAACATAGCCCGGGCTTCTCACTGGCTCATCTGCTCTAAGAAATGAAGGTGGAGGTTTTGAGGCGAGCACCAAGCTTTCCCACTGCACCTTCACAACTCTGGCCCGGTTTGTGCAGGACTCGCTAGCAGAAGCTGAGGAGAAGTATAAGAAGGCCATGGTGTCCAACGCCCAGCTGGACAACGAGAAGACGAACTTCATGTACCAGGTGGACACCCTGAAAGACACACTGCTGGAGCTGGAGGAGCAGCTGGCCGAGTCCCAGCGGCTCTACGAGGAGAAAAGCAAGGTGAGCGTCTGGGGGTGGGAATGGTGGGAATTCTTGTGTGGGGGAGGTGTGTGTGCGTGTGTGTGTGCATGGCGCATGTGTGTGCGCGCATGTGTGTGTGCATGCAGGTGTGTGTGCGTGTGCGCGTGCGTGTACATCGTGCTCATGCATATTTTAAACCGTCACCCTCCCACTGTCCAGGACACTCTAGTTCTGACGTAAGACTCCCAAGCTCTTGGCTAAGTCCTGAAATGTCAGCATGCACAGGTTAACAGCAAACTAAAGGACGTTTACCACAGTGTTAGTGTTTTATGTAGAAGATAAGACACAGGCCTGTGAAGGCACTAGGGGCCTTGATAAGGAACAGTCAGATGCTTCGAGAACGTCCTGCTAACTTGTGATTTTCATTTTCTCTCAACACCATAGACAGACAGGGTTTTAAGAAAATTGTATTCAGTTAACTTTCTGCTGATCGGGAAAAGGCACAGTTCCTTCGTTTAAGAATACCTTTAAGCTCAGAGAAAGACACCGCCCTGTATGAGTTTTCAGGAAGAAGCACTGGAATTAATTTGTTGCTAATTTACAACCAGCCTGAGCCTAGGTTGAGGCTGCTGACACGGCTGGGTTGGCAAAGCTGGGCTTAGCTGTCACGTACAAGCCCGGCATACTTACGTTTCATTGTTAGGAATTTGTTGGTTTTTCAAACCCTAGAATATTGTCCGGTTCTTCAGAGATCCTGAGATAAGCAGGGGATGTAATGTGTGGGTCACTTTTTTAATGGCTGCATCCTCAAAATCTCAAAGGAAAACCAAGGTCCCACTGATAACACAGGCCTCCTCCTCCGCTGCAGAATTGAGTTACAGCTAACGGGAGACTCCCGCAGTTCTCAAGGCTGAGCTCTGAGAGCACTTGGGAGGGAGGGAGGGAGGGAGGGAGGAGTGACCCCAAGAGTGCACCAGGCCCCATCCTGGTAGCAAGGTACCACAGTGCGGTGCGGTCCAGCTCTTCTAGAACACCACCCTCTGGGCCTGGTTCTGTGGCCAGGCCAGGAGCCCCCAAGTTTCATTATAGAGAAGCCAGGGGGGACCTCAGTGTGCTCCCAAGCCTGACAGGATGGGCCTTGTCACGGCCAGGAGGAGGAAGCCGGGAGCAGAGCTGGGGTCTTGTCCCTTCTCAAAAGGCCCCTCTAGGGAAGGGCTCTACCGTAGTGGGTGCCACGCCCTCCTGAGGCCAGTGCTCCCACAGAACAGAACAAAAATGCCCCGGGACGAGGGTGAGCCTGCAGAGGTGCGGCGGACCCAGGGGCAGCTCCGCCACGGGCCCCATGCCTGCTGCTTGGTCCTGGAGTGCAGCCCTTGAACAGAGCCACCACACGCTGCCACCTCACACAGTCCCGCCCACCCCAGCACTGCCCTGAACGGGGGGGGGGGGGGGCCTGCCTGGGAGTGGCCAGGAAGTGCCAACCAGTCCCGTCCACTGCTCAAGGTTAATTTATGGATGGATTTGGGGTGTTGCTTGCTTTAGAAATGGTGATGACACCCTAACAAGTCATTTGTCCTGAGCGGAATGCCGCAGTGAGAGCGTGGAGCAGAATGGCAGGGCCGCCCCTCCCAGCGCTCCTGCTTTCTGTCCTCCGCAGGAGTTTGAGCGGGAGAAGCATGCGCACAGCGTCCTGCAGTTCCAGTTCGCCGAGGTGAAGGAGGCGCTGAAGCAGAGGGAAGAAATGCTTGAGGTAGGCCGCTTTTCCTGGCTGTGCCTTTGGACATGGCTGCCTCCTGTTACTGAGGCAGAGCAGGCTCCCAGGGCAGAGTACTAAGGACCAGGTAGCTCTAACAACCAGCCATTCCTTTCCTCGGTTCTGGACAGCAGGGGTCTCAGGTGAAGGCCCTGCAAAGGAGGTGCAGGGGCAGGGCGGGGGAGGGGACATTCCTCCTGTCTGGTCAAAGCCCTCCCTGCCTGTGGCCTCATTTCCTCATTGAAACCTTCATCACTTCCTAATGACCTTGTCTTCAAATACAGTCATCTTGGAGGTCAGGACTTCACTGTATGAATTTGGGGAAACACAACTCAGTAATTTGACAGATGCTAAAAATTTTAATTTTAAGAAAATTCAATTTTAAGAAAAAAGTGATAACTTTTTAAATGTAGGGTTCAGATCATCTTGGATGCCTTACTTCGGGAAAGCGTTCCTCTCCCGGGAGAGAGGAGTAAGGTGTCCACTTTCTAGTTCCTAGAAATCATAAGACTGTCATTTTTTAAATTTTTTTATTATCATTAAATAGTTGCGCTTTTAGCATGGTTGTCCTCAGTTGTGAATGCAGCGAGGTTAGCTCGGCAGGGAGATTGTGCGGCATTGATTTCAGAGGCAGAGCGCAGCCCTCCACAGTGCCCGACGGCACCACAGGACCGTCACGAGGAGTCCTTGTGAGATCAAAAACACAGCAACAGATTCTTCTCTGGGGCCCCAGAAAGGAACTCAGGCCTCTGTACACTTCTGATCTCCAGAACTGTTAAGAGAATAAATCATGGAACTGTGCATTTCTAGAGCACTGATGAATTCAGGGTTGAAGAAAGAAAACCTTGCTGGAGTTCTTCAGTCATCTGGCACTGGGCTTTTTCTTCCTGCTTAACTCTTGATCTGCTCTCTTCCTATCTGTTCCTTTCCTCAGGAAATCCGACAGCTACAGCAGAAACAGGCGAGTTATATCAGGGAGATTTCTGATCTTCAGGAAACCATAGAGTGGAAAGACAAAAAGATAGGGGTAGGAGTCTCGAGTCTTTGCCAATCTGTGTCAACGGGCTGCTGCGTAGCGGAGGCCGTCCCTGTGTGCAGAAGCAGTGCGTCGCTGGTGTGGTGTGCATGCCGCGGGCAACAGCATAGTTTGAAGGAATCACACAACATTTCCAGAGCCGGACTCTCTCTCCCAGGCAGCCCTGTGTGAGCCCTGGGAGCACAGGGCACCGGCAGTGAGGACAGTGGGCATGCTGCACTGCGGGTGGAGGGTCAGACCCCAGAATTCCCTGTTCTGGGGTTGGCTGGAGTTCTGTTTTTCTCGGGAGGGTTTGCAGAAGCTGAGGTGTGGTGGCAGAGGCCGGGGCCCACACCCTCACCTGGAAGTCTCTCCAGGGAAGGCCTCCACTGACCCTCCTTCCACCCATGGTGGCAGTGACCGTTAGAAGAGAGGAATGCTAGCAAGTCACTGCTGATCCCCAGTGACCAGAACCAGCAGCCCCCATGTGGCAGAGCCTCGACACAGGACTAGAGGCTATACGGCCCCGTCATGGACAGGCTTGCCAGGTGAAACCTGTCGTGGTTCTACTTTGACATCTCACCAATGTTGGGGGGGCGGGTAATGGATGGAGGGAGAAGGAAAGGAAGGGAGAAGAGAGAGAGAGAGCAGGGGAGCACATAGATGCACTCTTACAGACCACTATCAGGGACAACAAACTTCCGGATCCATTAGTGTATAAAAGTAGCCTGAGATTATACAAATGCGGGCGGTTTAGCATTTCTTCTGACTCTATCCCTCGTTTAAGCAGCTGCATCACTTCTGTTAACTCCTGTCTCCTTCAAACTAAGCTAGAAAACGATGCCATACTGCAACCTACTTCCACGCTGCTTGGCTTTGTGTAGCTCACAACCCCGCACACACACACAGGTGTGGGATCATTTGCATCTCCTGGGTGTCTAGACTGAGTGAAGCATGAATGCTCCCTGCCTGCCTTTCGATTGTATCCTTAAAGAAGATGCTTTCTTGTGCCTGAAGTCTATTGGTGCTCTGCACGCTGGAGCCTCCTTGTTCTGTGCCTTAAGTAACCTGCTGGTCTGTGCCTTCTCCCTTCTCTCGGCTCTGCGCACACTCAGGCATTAGAGAGGCAGAAGGAGTTCTTTGATTCCATAAGGAGTGAACGAGATGATCTTAGAGAAGAAATAGCCAAGCTGAAAGAGGAGCTAAAGGTATGACGCCGCTGCTGCGTTTCTGGGGTTCTGTGACTTGTGGGTGCTGGAGATCATTTCATGTCTTCGATGTGTTCTGCCAATAAATTCAAATCTGGGGATCACCGGCAGGGTCTACATTTGTTGACGCGAGTACAGATGTGGGCGTTAGGCCCAGGGCGATTGGAGACCAATGAGCAGCTGATCTTGAAAGCAGCTCCGAATTCCATCTCTGATTTTTCTGACATTTATTTAAAGGATTTTTTTTTCCCCACGAGTGTTGGTTAGCCCTCTAGGGTGTTATTCAGTTAGAGAATGTGTTTGTTTCCTTGTTCCAAAGCGTCTGGTCCAGGGACTTCTCCAACAGAACGTTGTCTGTGTAATCAGACCTAGAGATGTGCTAGCCCTTAGGAAAGGGAGTTCCATGTCCTGCGGGGCCGGCCATGTGAGGAGTCTTTGGTGACCATGACAGCCCAGCAGGGGGCTCTGGGGAGCTGCCAAGGCACTGCAGGCAGGGGTGATAGTGAGAGGGAGGGTGCTGGCCCCAGCAGTGTCTAGAGAGAGCTGTGTGTAGAGAGAGCAGTGTCTCGGGGTATGGTCCAGCCTGCTCCTCAACTGCTGCGTCGAAGCCAGAGCAGCAGAGCAGGACTCAGTAAACCAGCGCCAAGAAATGAATGACACATTTGCTGATGCAAGGCTGTCCTCAAACTCAGAATCCTGTTGCCTCCACCTGCCAATGCTGAGATTACAGGTGTGGCCTGCCACGCTTCGCCACAGCCAGTTGTTGTTGTTGTTGTTCTTTAAACTCAAGCCAGGGCTTAAGTTGTTTCACTTTTTTTTTTCAGATAGGGTCCCAAGTTTATGCACAGCCCGGCCAGGACAGTGAGCTTCCTGTTGATGCTTCCTGTGAATGATCCTGCCACCAGCCTAGCTTTTTTTTTTTCAATTGGTTGAGATGGGGTCTCATGACCTTTTTACCCAGGTTGACCTTGAACAGCAGTTCTAGTTCTAGATCTAATCTAGAGTAGCTAGGATTACAGGCATGAGCTACTGTACCTGGCCTTGGCTGGAGCTTTACAATGACAGGCTCCTTCACATTGGTTCACCCGGTTTTCCACTTGGTAGCTGCTTACAGGCATCACCCATAGTTCAAAGGGTGCTGTTAGGAGGATCTTGTTCCCAGCAAACTCAATCATGGAACACATAAGAAAGCAGTTTTTGGAGGTTGCCTAGATATCATGAGATTGATGCCAGGCACTTTTCTGTTCTGACATGGCCACCCTCTACAGGAGAAGTATCTTCCTCTTCTATAATTACTAATGAAATACAGTTTAGCCTACTATCTCTTGAGTGTTACAGTGAGTGTGTTTTGTTCCCAGAAACATGGAATAATCCTAAATTCAGAAATAGCTACCAACGGAGAGACTTCAGACACACTCAATAATGTTGGATACCAAGGCCCTACCAAGGTGACAAAGGAAGAGTTCAATGCCCTCCAGTCAGCTGGCGACGGGGCACTGGGTAAGCATTGTTTTCCTTTGGATCCTTCAGCCTCCCAATCAGCACTGGGTCACCTTCCATGCATTATTACGACCAAAGCAATCACCACTGATCAATTAACAGTCACACCGCATGCCATTTGTTCTGTCACTCCATGGTCATGTCCTTGCCAATGATGTGATTGCCCACACGTGCTGTCCGGCATGCATCTCTGTTCAGTGCTTACCACCAACGGCTCATGTACACATTTCTTTTGCTTCTCAAAGTTACCAAGTAAGACTGTGAATGCAAGAAAACAGTGCCGAAATCCTGTGGCAATGTTAAGAGTACTGTTTGGTCCTCAGATATGTCCTGTGTATGGCTTCACAGACTTGTCACTAGATCAGGGTGTAGTGCGAGCTGGGGAGCGGCAGAGCTAACCGTATCAGCCCATCCTTCCTGCACGCCCTATGTCTTGCAGAGGTTTGCGTGCACAAGGCTCCTGTGCATAGCACAGGGACGCTTGGAGGGGGTGGAGGATGTCATGGTTGAAAGCTGCCCCCAGGTGGACAGGCAGCCTTGGCAGGGAGTCTGGCCAGAGCTGTAAGAGGTAGAACTCGCCCACCTGGGGGTCACCAGTGATCTCTGTTGCCATCTTTTTGCTTCTGCAAGAATATAAAGCGGGAGAATCCAGTAGCTCATAGGAGTATTTTCAGTCACCTGAAAATACTCACCAGTTAACATCTGTCATGGTATTTGGCTTTGAGATCTGGCCCATCTGGCCCTGGAAGCTGATGGCCTCATAAGGTGGGAACAGAGCCAACGTCTAAGGCTCAACTGCAGCTCAGACACCTTCATCTTATCTCTTACCATGTATGTGTAGACACCATCTCTCAGGATCTGTGGTGACTCTAAAGAAATACAGCTCTTGTAAACTATGTGGAGGGTTTTTGTTAAAAAAAAAAAAAGAATTTCTATAACACCTTTATAAGAGATGCCTGAGTAACTTAAGAATTCAATCTTGCTGCTCCTGTCTAAATACACATTGTACAGATCTTTGGTACGCTTTATGAGATGTTTAAAAAGCCAGAAAGATCAATTTACATGTGTAAGTTGTCTCCAAAAGTTTTCTGAGGGCACAGCTCATCTGTAAAGAAACTACTGGGGCTTCTTAGTATGTGCGCATTTTAAATTTATGTATGCAGCCTACTTCATTAATATGAAATGAACATCATTAAATAATAGTACATTATCAAACAATAGTCAAAATTACTAGAAGTACTGATATTTTTCCCATTTTCTTGGGGTCAGACCCCTAGATGGTAAGAGGGCCAGGCATTCGTGTCCAGCAGCATGGTGTCTAACAGACTGGAGTTTTGTAGCTTTGCTTTTGAGAACCCCAAACAGGAAAACAGAACTGCCTATTTCTAGAGCTAGGGGCAGCATGGCTCCAGTGGTAAGGTCCTTGTCCAGGAAGCACAAGGTCCTAAGTTCAAACCCTAGTACCACCAAGAAAGAGAGAGGGAGGGAGAGAGGGTTGTCCTTCTGAAGCAGTGATGGCTGGCTATGGAATTACGTGGTTGCCTTGACTTTCAGTGTTCACTGGCGGCTGCAGGGAGCTTCTCCCTGCCTGAGTGTTTGTGGACAGAGCAGGGGTGCTCAGGGCCGACACAGGGTGCTTTGTCAGGATGACAGTGCCTGGGTGGGGGACCCTAGATTTCTTTCTGCCATGCAGGAGCTACTTCAAAAGCCTGTTCCTTCAAAAGCTGAGTTCTGAATGCCAGATGAATGGCCTTTTACAGATTTGAAGCCACTGTGAGGGCCGTGTGGGTGCAGTGCAGTCTGAGGGCGCTTACAGTGGTGTGGACTGCGGTCTGTGCTCAAGCCCAGCATTTGGGGCCGCGTGTCTGCCTGATCAGAGCTCTTCCTATTAGTTCACCTTTGGAAAGCAGCTCCTTCAGGTGTCCAGCGGCCACCCTCGCGGGGGCCTGTGGCTGTGGCCTTCGCTGGTCAGAAATGTACTAATGCAATCGCTGCTTTGCCGCACAGAACTGGCAACGGCTTCTGTTCCACATGATTCCCTGGTGATGCTCTTCCGTTAGCACCCGGGCAGGGCGGGCATTAGAATGGGTTGGCGTTTTACTCTGTATTAACTGGTCACCGCATCTTGGGGTCCCTTCAATTCTCTCAATGGTCTTTTAGGAAGAGCCAATGGAGTGGAGGTGAAAAAAGAAATTGTGGAGACTGTGGGGAAAAGAGAAACCTCGCAGCACGCTGAGCAAGAGCAGCACGAGGAGAGCACGGGAGAGGCGTGTGTGGACAGAGAGGGCTGGCTCCCCGGCGAAGGTGCTGAGCGCCGGGGGTCCTCTGAACACAGTGCCTCGGGACTGTTAGCAAGTGCCGGCTGGGAGGGGCAGGTGCAAGGCCAGAGTCTAGGGAACACTTGTGAAAGTCCAGAGCAGGTGGGATCAAGCGGGGTGGCAGACCTGCCAGACGGCGGGGCCGGAGCTCCCCCCGAGCAGTCTGGCCCTCAGCGCCAGGTAGACGGAGAGCCGCCCGGCCCGGCGCCTGTGACGCACAGTGAGGACGCTTCGGATACCCAGAACCACAGCGAGAACGCCGAAGCGAGTCGGGAAAGAGCAAAGCTGGAGGATGTGAAGACGGACGTGGAACCGTCCCGCCAGGAGTCCGTCCCCGGGAGGATGCCGGAGACCGAAAAGATGGGCAGTCCAGTCTCTGGGGACCCGGAGGGGAACCACGTGGAGAGCGAGGTAGTGGCAAAGGCAGCTGAAGCTGGGGAGCACGCGGGAACAGCGGCCTCAGGTCCTCCTGCGCATGGCAGGGACACCGCCGTGAGTCCTGACGGGACGCACATGGCCGAGGAGTGGGACGCAGGCCGGGGGCTCAGCTTAGAGAGAGAGCTCCCCAACCAGGAAGGAGCCAAGCTCCGGGGGACCCCCATGCAGAGCCCAGAGGCAGCGAGGGAGAGCACTGCAGAAGAGGAGGGGGGCGTGGAGCCCGTGGACGAGGAGCCTGTCCAGACAGACGGACAGACCCCCAGAGCGCAGGCAGCCGCCGGCAGCCCCGGGAGAGCAGACACTGAAAATGCAGCTGACATGGAAAAGAGCCGCCAGCAGGGGGAGGCGTTGGATTCATCACAGAAGAAGACAAAGAACAAGAAGAAGAAAAACAAGAAGAAAAAGGCGCAGGCCCCCATAGAATCCCTGCAAGATGTCAAGGACACGTTAACACGTCAGAACACGGGTGCAGGGGGAGCTGAGGACGAAGGGCAGGTACCATTTGCTGACAAAAACCAAGTCACCAAAGCCCTAAACAAGATGACCAAAAATCCAAAACAGGAAATTGGGATAGGAAGCAATGACTATGTTGATTGTCCAGAAAATCCTGAAATGATCCCCGAGGATAACGGTGCCGACCAAAGGGCAGGGGAGGTGACAGCTGAGGGAGACACATTGACCTCTGGTGAGGGTGCAGGTCAGTCGGCAGACACCCGTGCTAGCGATGAATTAGATGGGCAGGCTACAAAGAGTGCTGCTGGTGGTGTCACTCAGAGCAGTCCCGCCCAGCCCAAGAATGGAGTAGGAAACGGCAGCTCCCCTCCTCAAAATAAAAGTCCCTCCCATGGCATTGAAGATGCCCAACACTCAGGTCAGACAGCTGGGAAAGTTCTAGACAGTATCAGTGTGGATAATGATGACTTGTCAGCAGCCGCAGGGGAGCTGGGAGACCTCGGCTCAGAAGGAGCAGGGAGTGAGCAGGGCAAGAGCAAAGAAGACTGTACCATGTCCTAGGCAAGCAGCAGCGGAGGGCCGGTGGAGGAAGACAGGCTTCAGAGCGAGGCTGAGGACTCTGCCCAGAAAATCCAATCATAAGAGACCCTTGTCTTTCCTGTCCATCACTCATGTGCACAGAATGTTCTAAAATGCTGTAGAAGTACTGTATGACAATCATCCACTTTAAGTTATAGACTGTTACCAATAGATTAGTATTTAATTAGTATTTAATCATTGAGGTGATCACCTAGATTAGAAAGAAAGACACATTCGTTTTCATTTCAAGTTCTAATCAAGAGCATTCCGTGATAAATGCCAAACCATAGTGTGTGCCTTCACTATCTGTATTCCAGCCTAAAGTAAAAATATTTGCCTTAGGTCAATATGAATGTGGTGATTCTTGACCAAATATATCAGCCTTTAACCGAAATGACCAAATAGCATTCTTAGATTTCTGCATTATGAATATTATGGATATTTAAATAGCTACATCTCCCTCAGATACATGTGCATTCATATTCAATTTTACTATGCATGTGAGAGACAATATGGCACATTATTTAGAGGAGATAAACACGCAGCATCTAGGTCACTGAGTGGTAAGACTTGCACCTTAGAACAACAGCCGACGGTTTTAGGACACAGAGATGCCCTGCCTTTCCCCAGAACTGTCACCTCTCACACCAATGCCTTCAGGTCTCATTGCAATGATACCTGCAGTTATTTTGTGGTTCCATGTTGATGATGTACCAAATTCATTTTACAAAAAGTTTTTAGGGTTTTTTTTTTCTGGAAGTGATACATTGACATTTCACTTCCTATTGTAGAATTTAGGAGATACTGTCATTTAACAAATATATAACCTCAAATTTATTTCTCTGTTGAATGTATAACCGTTGTTCCAAAGAAAAATACAAAAGGATACCTTTTGTACAAATTACTAAGGAGTAGTTTGCATAGAGTAGGGTATCTTAAAGAGTTGAATAACTTTTGGTATTTTGGCATAAATATTTTTGTTGTTTCTTGGTATATTCTTACTGGAAAGTTCTTGCTTTGATCTACTTGAAGGAGATACATATTTTCTATATAAAGACGCATTTAAAAAGAATTGTAAAGTTGAATAAAGAGTAACTGTAAAATTTTTCTAAACACAAGGGAATGTATATTATGAGTTGCTGACCCTTTGTGAAATTTCGACTTGCACTACTGTTACAAGATATAAATGAACTCAAAAGGACCAAAACCTCAGCAGAATTTGAGGCAATCCTAAGGGTTATGTAATTGAAATAAAAAGCATTTTATGATTTTACAAGCCTGTGGTTTTGGTCTTTGGGTCCTTGAGCTGTGGCCCTGGCTCTGGTTCACACAGTGCCCTCTTGAAGCCACGCCCACTCTGCGGGCCACTCCAGGGTTCTAGACAGACCTCCTGCTCTTGCCTTCCTCAGTGATAAGTGAGCTCCTCTCTGGTGGCCAGCCTGGTGCCAGGGAGGGGCCCCCGAAAGGAAGACTTGGTGGTCCTCCTGTGTCTCCTGTGCTCCCTGGGCCGTCCTGGTCAGATCCTGATTGAGGGGGGTCTGCTTAGCCATACTGGGACCGGGAGAGGTTGGGAGTGTAAGGACCGTGGCGAGGAAACCTTAAGACCATGCATGCGTCCTGCAGAAGAGGACGGTGGGCATGGAAAACTCCAGCTGTGTCACGGACAGAGAAAGGCGGGAGCCCTGGAGACGGCGGCCCAGGGCTGTGTAGGGCGGCTGTAACTTAAGCAGGACACATTCACCCTGGAATGTACGCTGGAAAACAGCTCTCATTCTACCTTCCAGAGCCTTCCAGGGTGTGAGCCAGCGACTGAGTTGCCAAGTGTTGACATCATGCGGCCTGCCGTTTTAAGTGCTTTCTTTCCCTCTCCTGTTCCTCACCAGCACGTGTCGGGCTCGCATCCTCCTCCGCTCAGCCACCCCAAATCTGTCATCTCCCCACCCCCATGTGTCTCACAGATGATCTTTACCCCTTTGTCACTGGAAGAAAACCGCTCACCACTGAGACCTTCAAGCCAAAAGCGGGGCTGTTTTTCCGGTGAAAGCAGAAAGTTGCTAGTATAGAATCATGTGACTCCTTCAAAGGCGTAATGCTGAGGCTAAAGGCAAACAGGGAAGCTGAGAGGTGTGTAGGTGTCTGAACAGGGTACAGAAAACTTCACGAAGAACCTGTGAGAGCCAGATACACCGCATTCACTGCTTTCTGCCATTGCAGAGTGTGTGCTCCGTATTTAGTACTATTAGTAGTAATGCTTCGTACCTCCAGTGATGGAACACCTAGCGGCCTGAACCTGACGTCGCCCTCCTCTCGAGGACCCTGGCATGTGGCCGCCGGGGTGGGTGGGGTGTCAGAGGGTTTGTCTCCTTTTCCACGGATGTGCTGCATCCTCGCATAGCACCGTGACCTCATCGTGCAGGGAACACACCAAGAGTCACCACAGCATCCTGCCCCTGGAGGAAGAGCAGGATGGCAGCTGTGCCAAGGGCCTCTGCCTAGGCCGTGTGGTAGCTGTGCGCAGAACGCTTCATCTTCCAGAAGGAAAGTCCTCAGACTCTGCCCTTGTCCCCATCTCCTATCCCTCTCTCCTCAGCTGGGACAGCTGGTGGCTGCTGGTGTGGGGAAGTGCTCTCCCCTGTACAGAGTTCTCTGCCTCCTGCCAGAACTAAGTGGGCCTGGCACTTCATCTCCTGGTCTCGGGAGATGGAGGCTGCCTGGTGGATTTCAGAAAAGTCAGTGAGGAGGGACAGAAGAGATATGACAGTTGCTTGGTTGTTTGTAAAACCCCACCCCCTTCCCCATGTTTGTGCACACGGAGGGGGGGGGGACACTCCTGGGCAATGGGAGGAGGGGGCCTCGTGTCAAGGGAACCCGTAGATCCATGGCCAAAGCCCCCTAGATGCACCTGCTCTCTGAAATTAGCCCTCAGACTGCAAAATACACATTGCCAATGTTTGATCTGGAACGAGCCGCTTAACCTCAGGGTGCCAATGGGCAAGAACCCGCCTTTCAGGTTGGAATGGAGACCAGATCGAGGTGAAGCACTGGGAACGTCAGTGCTTTCCGAGGGCCACCCGGCTGTTGGTTTTTAAATCAAAACAAAGGTGTATTTTATATGAATTATTTTCTCTTCACACGGCCACTCAAAGGTAATTTTTCACTCAAGAATTTGGAGCCAGGAAGCGTGGCAGGAACGAAAGCTCGGGATGGGGGAGCCAGGGTTCCACCCCAGAGGTGAGAGTCCGGATCTGGAAGGTCCACTGCGGCAGGGGGCAGGGGCACCCTTAGAAGGCCATTCAGTTGTCCCGGGCCTCTGCCTCATCTGAAGGAGAGAGTACAGCGAAAGCTTGCCCAAACAGCTCCTGGGCTAGCATGGGCTGATGACAGTGCCCACAGCCTTGTGTATGTATACTACATACATCACCAACTGTTGCCCTGATTTTGCATTTAAATGAGTGTAAATCTCCCCAGGCCTCGGTCCCCGCTGTGGGTTGGAAGATTCTAGTTGGCACTCAGAGTGACACAGACCCTTCGGAGCCCGGGGTGAGAGGAATCCCAGAGTCCAGAACTGTTGGGCAACTATGTTGTCAGTGGGCGTGGAACTCATAAGTACAGAGTCAAGGCTCTGCACTAGTGAGTCTATGAGACAGAGGGAAACCAAAAACCTCACCTGGGATGTACCTGCGGGAAGGAATTCTAAGGGAAACCTTGTTGCTCTTGAAACATTGATTTTCAGTGTGTTTATACCTTGCTCAATATGTTAAACATGAAGCCTGTGAGATCTTGTGTTGCAGTGTGGTTTGCCTAGCGTTCTTGCATGCTAACCTAAGTAGAAGATTAGCCTGTTTGCATGAGCCGGAGGCCCTCCTGACGAGAAGCATGTCGGGAGGCTGGCGCCACCCCCTTGGCTGAGTTCCTCCCCCATCCTGTCTGTGGCCTCCTTCATCGTGGTATGTGTATAGTGACTTTCATCACTTACTTCACTAACTTGAATGAGCATTCTTCAATTAGTGCATGCTAAAAAGTGCAGCTTATGGATTCATCTGAACCTATGTCTTTCTGGTTTCTTCAGATAATAGGTTGAAAAAGCTTGTCGATGAGCGAGAATGCTTACTGGAACAGGTAATACAACCTTTTTACTGCTTTATGAGTTCTTGAGCAAGACACCTGAAACCATAAGTGTTCTCCTTCTTACTTCTAGCTTATGTGGAAAATCTATAGAACTGAACATGGTGCCTCATTCTCCTGCCTGGGAGATTGAGATTGAGAGGATCGAAGTTCAAGGCCAGCCCAGAGAAATAGTTCACAAGATTCCATTACAGCCAATAAGAAGCTGGGCAGAGTGGTACATAGCTGTCATCTAGGCTATGGAGAAGATATAAATAGTAGGGAGAGAGGGTGGGGGGAGAGGAAAAGGGAGGGAGGGAGAGAATGGATATGTTAACATAATAGAGGTAGAGAGCTATGATAAATAGTCTGGCTTGGGCAAAAAGACCCTGTTTAAAAAACAATGAAGGCAAAAATAGCTGGAGATGTGGTTAAAGCAGTATAGTACCTCCTAGCAAGTCCAAAGCCCTGTTTGCAAGCCTCAATGCTACAAGGAGAAAGAAGAAAACCCCTGAAAACATCATGCCCAAAAACAGCACACCAGTCAGCTGTGTTGACTTGGTGATTTTGTCCGAATAGAACATCCTAAGTCATACGAGGCTTGCTGAGGATGCCACAAGGACTGAAAGCCATGGCGCTGAGTAAATGTAGTGGAAGGCCAAGTTTAACCATTGAAAGGCAAGACGTGTCCCGGTCATGGTGTCCACTTCTCCCCTGACTGCCTGCCCATGAAGATCCGTGTTCTGCTCTCAGCAATCAGCATGTTCATTTGTACAGCTGATTAAAATGATTTAAACTGTAACTTCACTGCTCTTTCTGCCCCTCCCAAAAAACAGCAGGTTGTAGTTCTCGTTGATCTTTCCTATATGCAGGACAGTTAGGAAAGTATTCTACAGCCACTGTTTAAAGAAACTCAGTGCTCCAATTCCCCTCATAACCAAATGCAATTGCCTTTTACCATCTATTAGATTCTTTGAGAACTGGATGAAGCATTGAATACAGTGGAAGGAGTCTCTCAAAGCTCCTGTGTGTTTTCAGGAGCACACACCCACTGTAATTCTGTAATAATCTCCTTAGAGGAGTTTGTACCTTGGGTCTGTAATCAGTGAGAAGAATGGGAGGAGGAAGGCAGGTGAGCCTCTACTCATGACTCCAGAGATTAGACATTAAACACGAGGAGCAAGGGAAACCCCACCTCTGGATACTGGAAGATGCAGCCACGGCAGCCAGCCGCCTTCACCTGCCCTTCACCGTGTGCTGTGTCTGTGAGAGAGGAAGTGTGCACAGGCCACTTCCCTCATGGCTGGCTAGCACCTCTGAGGAAGCCTGCAGCTGGATCAGTGCCGTGAGAAAGGACAAGGTTTCCTTTGAGACTTCATTGCAATAGTTCGCTCCCAGTGGGCTCTGAGTGTTCCCTTCCGGCCTCCCTGTACATAATCATGGGGTACAGGAACACACATGTTTTAAGTATTTGATACACTGTCTCCTAAGTCCCAGAGGAACTTCCACTTCAGAAATAACTTCTTTCCCCGAGTTAGAAAACAGTTCATTGATGATACTCTTTTTTTGGAGGGGGGGTTCCGGTTGTGGGGCCTGAACTCTGGGCCTGGGTGCTGTCCCTCAGCTCTTCAGCTCAAAGCTAGCGCTCTACCACTTGAGCTACAGCGCCACTTCCGGCTTTTTTCTCTTTGCTTATGTGGTGCTGAGGAATTGAACCCAGGGCCTCAGGCATGCAAGGCAAGTGCTCTACCACTGAGCCACCTTCCTAGCCCCGATGATATTCTTTAATAAAAATAAATTAAAAATTTAAAAAAAGCAATTCTCCTTCCTGAGAATACTACCAGAATAAACTGCCCAGCAGGTTTCTTACTTTCCTGGCTGGTCTTTATGAAATGGGGCATATTCCTCTGGCTGGTAGAGCAATGTGCAGGTCGCAAGCTTCCGGTGCTTTCTCTCCTGCATCCCCGTCTCTGGCATTCCAGAGACACGCCAGTGAACCCCAAAGCAAGAGCTTACTCATTCTGAGTATTGGTTGTCATTTCATACAATGTTTCCCCTCTGACAGACTCTAAATTCAGCTTTTCACTTTGCTCCAGAAAATAAATTAACACATTTTATGGGCGGTGTTTCCAGGTTAAGAAACTCAAAGGGCAGCTGGAAGGGAAACAGAAGAACAACAAGCTGGACTTCAGTCTGCGATCTGAAGACGAGGTCTTGGAAAACGGGACAGATGTTCACGTCATGGATCTACAAAGTAAATGGGAGGGAACGCCCGGGATTCCCCACATCCCCCCACCCCCCCAGCCGCCCCCAAGGCCCCTGAACCCAAGAGAGCAAGGAGGGCAAGTGGGCGGTGTCAGGGCATTGCCTCTGTGGGCCCATGGACTAGAGCAGGTACACGGGTGGGCACTGGCGGACACCAAGTTTACTCTGCCGGACACAACCAGTCCTTGGATCTGCTGATACCGGAAACGCTGAGAGGCACATTTATTTGTATGCCAGAAACCTAGAAACAGGCTTAATGGATAAAACTGGGTCCAGTCTCTCTGCCCCTTCCCATCTCACTATGTCTTTGTCATCTGGCTCAGAGGATCTCTGTCTCTGTCTCTTCCTTTCTCACCTTCCTTCTTCCCACCCTCCCTCCCCTGGGGTGTCCTGCCAGCAGGCCCCGGCCACACAGGCCGGTTCCCAGCCTAGGCTCCTGGTGAGCGCCCATTCTCCAGCTCTTAGCTATGACAAACGGTGGACCCATGGGCCAAAGTTTCCAGATCTGTGAAATGAGGGGAGGAATGCGAGGCTTGCTCCTCCGAACAGCTTTAAACATTGGAAGCCAGGAGCTTAACACATTTTTCCTTTCTTTACCCTCTAGGGGATGCCAACAGACAGATCAGCGACCTCAAATTTAAACTTGCAAAATCAGAGCAAGAGATAACTGCACTAGAACAAAATGTACGTGTGCACACCTTCAGCAATGATGGGCAGCTAAACTAGGGATTAAGTCGAAAGAAGGCCTGGAAAGCTGAGGACCAAGAGCAGCAGAGTTTTAGGGCTAAAAAAGAAAGTCTTAGGGGAACAAAGGAAGGTAGCAAGCCTGTCACAGTATTGCTTCCAGATAGAACCCCTAGGGAGGAAAGATAATTATTAGGACAGAGGAGCCAAGGTCCTGCCAGCATGGTTCTCCCTCAACAAACCTCTCCAGCAGGACAGTCCCTCAGGAGGGAAAGATGGAGGCAAAGAGAGGTGCACCTGTGCGCTGAGGCCTTGGAACGAAGCAGTCCCCTGAAGGTGTCAGAAATAACAGCAGGCCCTGCGCTTGGCTAGAACCTGAATAATACCCCAGTGCTACGCCATGCATCTGTGTGGCGCATTCTCTCATCTTAATCACAGCTTTTGACCCCAAACGTAATAAAGCAATTGGAAAAGGAAATCAGATCTATAAACTTACACCAATGGCTTTTCCCTCACTTGTAGGTAATAAGGTTAGAGAGCCAAGTATCCCGTTATAAAACAGCTGCTGAAAATGCAGAAAAAATAGAAGATGAACTTAAGGCAGAGAAACGGAAACTCCAAAGAGAGGTAAATATCCTAGTCTCGTCAAAGCAGGGAAGGAATGGGTAGCAACAGCGACGGCCCCGGATCGGGGCAGGAGAGGGTTACCACGTCCAGGCCGCTTGTCACCGGCCCGTCTGTACTCTATATCCTCTCCTGGGGCGGGCGGGCGGGCGGGCGGGCAGGGGAACACGGGAGGGATGGGCAGGATGGAGAGCAGCACTGTCCGAAACACCTGTCCGGCGGGGCGGCCACAAGCACCACTATGCTCTTTGAAAACTGCACATCCTTTACCGTCCTCAAGAAACTCCAAGATAATCAGAGCCTCTGCTGGGCACAGGTCTGCGTGCCGGGCACAACCATTGTTAACCTGTTTCTTTCAGCGTTCCACACAGTGTTCCACCTCCCGCCCCGGGCCAGCTCCGGAGGGGTGCTTCTCCTGTCTCTTGCTTCGGCTCTCTCCCTCGCAGGGTTCCCCTTCCCCTTCACTGTTTTGTGAGGTTATGCCTAATTCCCTGCACATTCCCAGGATGCTTTGGGAGAGCTGTCCACCCACAGGGCCAGCATCTGCTCCTGCAGAGGAGGGGGCTTCTGTCCCAGAACCCTGGCCACCCCGCTGGGGACGTGGGGTGGGAGGGAGAGCATGCCCTGGGTTCCAATCCCCGCATCGCCACAATCATGTGATTGTGGTGCTTCCTCCCTGGGAATTCTCTGTTCCTCCACCCACTGGTCCAGGACTCCCGCTCAGTGCTCTTCCTGCTGGGCTCTGGGCCCCGGCTGTCATGTTGGCCTCAGGCATTCGTGCTTTGGTTTCTGGCCGCAGAAACCTTCCTCCTGGCTTCCTCGAGCTGATCCAAGCGCTCCAGCTCGGCTCTATTTCTATTTTCATGTCTGTGCCTCACTCAGCTTTTAAGATACCTTTAGGGTCCCCACTGGTGTGTCCTTTCTGGGACGTGTCTCACAGGAAGGAAGCCCCTCAGCAGTCAGGATGTCAAAACCATAAGCATTTCTCCACATTTCAAATGAATACATACGCACGCACGTGCGCATGGTTGGGATTTCAGGGAGTTGTGGCTTTCAGTGGGACAGAATGTTGGCGATTTACTGCTATGTTGGAGGAAGGTCATTCCTTAGAGCTCACTGCCTTCCCTTCTTGCTTTAGCTTCGCTCCGCACTGGATAAAACAGAAGAGCTCGAGGTGAGCAATGGCCACTTAGTGAAGCGTCTGGAAAAGATGAAAGCGAACAGGAGCGCACTCTTGTCCCAGCAGTAAGCACCAGCCTGACAGGCAGCTGAGCGTGTGGCCCTTGGGTTTTTCTCTGTACTGTGAGCGCGCCATGCCTCCACGGAACGCTACGGGGAGCCCTGGCTCTTCCACTCGTGCCGGGATCCACCCCGGAGAACCCAGCAGCCGCCAGCTGCAGCCTCGTCTGCAGACCCCTTCTCCAGGCTGGGCCGACTCTCAGAACCTCCAGGTTTCTTCGTAAGCACACTGGGCCTCTGACTCTGACGCACAGCCGCTTCTCAATGCATGGCTAGGGACGACCCAGGTCAAGATGAGCGTGGAACATGAGCTGTCTTTTCACGTGTCTCGCTGAAAGTGAAGGGGAAACGTTACAGTGTGGGACTCCTCCATGGCAAAACTACAGTTTGAGCGACTTCCGTAGTATCTCTTAGTCTACGCTTTTCATACACAAAACACTGTGGAACCACAAGCCATTACCAAGCAAAACTCACTGCAAACAAGAGGATGGTCTAGGCGTAAAAGTGACCTTAAGAAAACTCTTTACAGGCAACAAATAAAGCTTTTCTAAGGGATTTTTGCATCTGTTCAGTCATGAGAGTACTTTTTTCCAGGGTAATTAGGCAATAGCTCTTCTCTGAAAAAAAAGACAGCTTTTCATTTGCATTATATTTGGAATTGAAGTTGTTAACTTCTTTTAAAGAATGTTCTATTAGAAAAATAAAATATGAAATGTTAAAAGACTTGAGTGATGTGGTTTTAAGTTTTTTTTCCTACTGAGAAATAAAATCTTTAACTGATTGCATATTTGTTGTTCTGTGTATCTGGGGTCTTTTTTAAACATTTTAAACATTTCTATTTTCTTTATCTTAAAAAGATGTGAGAGAGGGGAATATTCATGAGCATTCAGTGCACTTGAAAACACAAGAGGTAGACTAGAGCAGAAACTGCTCACGAGTATAGTCAGATAAAAGAAGAGAAAGTTTGGCTACTTGGTGATTTTTAATTGCTTTTTTTAATCTGTTATTGTTAAACATAGCTAGTTAAGCCGATCAGATATTAGCAGGCACAAACTAAGACATTATCACCCAAAACCATATCTAGTGCTAACATCTTGACACATGATTAAGAAAATGTCCCAAGTTGGGAACTAGTGCTCACACCTATAATCCTAGCTATGTGGAAGGCTGAGGTGGGGAGGATGGGAGTAAGAAGCCAGATCACGCAGAAAAGTCCAAGAGACTCCATTTCAACAGAGGGAAGTCAGAGTCACCCTCATTTCTTAACCCAAGAAGTCTGAGCTTACAGAGTAAATCGTTCCCTGCAGATGTAGCTCCTGGAGATTGGGTTGCCGATTTGTTCTCCTGTGGCTGAGTATTTACCCACAGCCGGCTGTCCTCACCAGAAGCTGTTGAGCACCTTCCCTGGGCTCTGCCCGCTTCACCCTAGGAGACCCAAAAATGACTCCCATGGTGGATAAATCCACACTGACTCGCACGGTGCTGCTGCTTTCTTCTGTTCCAGCCAGCCTAGGGGATGGCGCAGCCCCCACTCACGCCAGGTCTTTCCCTTGGCTCATGTCTCTGGAAACACACTCGCCCGCAAGTGTGCTCTACTAATCTCTTAGCTCTCAGTCTCACCACATGGACAGTCACGATTAACCGTCATACTCGGAAATACTTCTGAAGGACAGGAATCTCCCAAGCCTGCTGAGATGCAGCCCGGCTCTTCAGTATTGCAAGCCCTAGATGGCAGAAAGCAAGATTCTCATCTCCCATGTGAGAGGGCGTTGGAAGTTGCAGGTTGGAGCCTCGGCAGGGAGTTCAGCAGGTCCAGCCTGTTTGCTCTTGCTACAAGGCAACCTCCGTCACCGTCCAGGTCCTGCCTCAGACGCTTCCAGGATTTCTAGGGTCACGCCCTCCCTTGCAAAACCCTTGCTGGGGGTCAGTTAGCCACACATATGAAGATAATGGGCAGACAGACTCCCAGACTCTCAGAAGATAATGGACAGACGGACTCTCAATCCTTCTTACCTGAGAAAAATGTACTTGGGATATTATTGACTTGAACACGTGTGAAAAAACTTCTCTATCAAGTATGTGTTGCTTAAAACTTCCTGCTTTGGCCTGAAAGTGAGAGAGCTTCCGGATGAGAAAGCTTTTTTTTTTTTTTTTTTTTTTTTTGTCGGTTGTGAGGATTGAACTCTGAGCCTGGGCGCTGTCCCTGCTCAGCTCTTCAGCTCAAGGCAAGCGCTCTACCACTTGAGCCACAATGCCACTTCTGATTTTCTGGTGGTTAATTGGAGGCAAGAGTCTCAAGGACTTTCTTGCCTCGGCTGGCTTTGAACCGTGATCCTCAGATCTCAGCCTCCTGAGTAGCTAAGATTACTGATGTGAGCCATTGGTGCCCAACTTAGCATTTTTGAAATGCAAGGTTTTGTCCTAAATTGGTTTCTTTTCAACCTGGAATTAAGACACACCCCGGACTGTTTAAGAAATAGCAGAGGGTACAGGCATATTTTGAGATTGCTTGTGTGCTGTTAATCTTATTTCATAATCACTATGTCAATACATTTTACTTTATTCAAACTAGCCAGCCACCAGCAGATTGTGAGCCTGTGCTCAACCAATCAGAGCAGAGGGGTGTGGCCTGCTGTATTAGGGGTAAATGGAAGCAGCCAGCCTGCTCTGTGTGCTTGCTTGCTGATGATGCACCCCACTACAGAAGCATATTTTGCCTTGCTGAGATAATTCTTTGTTTTTGTGTCTGACATTGTGACTTCAATGGTTCTTGGAGAGAATATTTATAACACCTAGCTTTCAGAACTTTTGTGTGTGTGTGCCAGCCCTAGGCCTTGACATGACCAGTGCGAAAAAAACAGTGGCTCACACCTGTAATCCCAGCTACTCAAGAGGCTGAGATCTGAGGATCACGGTTCAAAGCCATCCCAGGAAAGTCCATGAGACTCTGTGAGACTCTTATCTCCAATAAACCACAGAAAACCAGAAGTGGCACTGTGGCTCAAGTGGTAGAACATTGGCCTTGAGCTGAAGAGGTGAGAGAGCACCCAGGCCCAGAGTTCAAGCCCCATAACTGACACAAAAAAAAAAAAATACACACATGATTGAATGAAGGGAGGAAGAGTGAACAAATGAAATCATTATAGCAATGTACATTATGTAAAATCCAAACTACAACACCTAAAGGATAAGAATGGGAGGGAACAATGGAATGAGTGACATTGACAAAGAAGCACTGTACTTGGGCTGGGAAGGTGGCTCAGTGGTAGAGTACTTGCCTTGCATGTATGAGGCCCTGGGTTTGAGTCTTCAGCACTGCATAAGCAGAAAGAAGCCAGAAGTGGCACGCTGGCTCAAGTGGTAGAGCGTGCTAGCCTTGAGCTGAAGAGCTGAGGGACAGCGCAAAGGCCCAGAGTTCAGGCCCCACAACTAACTGAAAAGAGTCATAACTTGACTTAGAGAAATTGTAATCTCTTTGTACAGCTACTTAATAATAAGGAAAAATATGATTATAGCTTTAGATCTTGAAAAGTATTCACAGTACAGATTGAAGAACAGTTTAAAACCACTTAGAAAAAAACATTCTCTTTGCCGGGTGCTAGTGGCTCACACCTGTCATCCTAGCTGCTCAGGAAGCTGAGACCTGAGGAGCACAATTTGAAACCATCCTGGGCAGGAAAGTCTGTGAGACTCCAATTAACTAGCAAAAAATCCAGAAAATAGCTGTATCTGAAGTGGTAGGATGCTAGCCTTGAACACAAAAGCTCAGGCTCTGAATTCAAGCCCCAGAACTGCTGCGCGCACACGCACGTACATACACACCACACACACACACACACACACACACACACACACACACAAATTATCCTGACCTTCATGTAAATGACTGAAGACTGGAAACTGTGGCAGGTGAACCACAAGTTTGAGTTCACATCAAATTTTAAAGCAAACATTAGAGTAAAACATTTTGATTTGAATCAGGAAGAAAGTAAAAGTACTGATAATCACCATGCATTTTTTAAAAAAGTTAATGCTTTAAAATGTGACTTAAAATCAGAGTCTGGGTGCTGCTTCTTCCCTTTTCACTCCAGGCTGCCAGTGTCTCTTGAGCCACAGTTCCAATTTGGGCTTTTTGGTGATTAAATGGGACCAATAGAAGAATGAACATTTAACCAGCACAAGAAAGCCAGCACAAGAAAGACATGGCCAAAAACTCTAACGTGTCTGAGAGCAATCAACGGGAAGTGTCAAGGACCTAGAGCACAAAGCCGTTTCTTCCGGTCCTGTCAGCAGCTACCATCCTCTGGACAAACTTCTGGTCACCTCTTTCATGGCCTCCACGGCTCGAAACTAGACAGATAGCGGCAGATGCATTCGTACAGCCCAGGGGTCCACGTCCAGCCTAGCATGCCCCCAGCCTGCATCAGCTCGTCTACAACCGTCTTGCTTCTGCCTTGCCCTCTTCATCCATTAGCATCACTTTATTTTATTTTATTTTTTGTGTCCATATTGGGGCTTGAACTCAGAGCCTAGTTGCTGTCCCTTAGCTACTTTGCTCAGGCTGATGCTCTACAACTTGAGCCACAGCTCCATTTCTAGCTTTTTGATGGCTAATTGAAGATAAAAGTCTTACAGACTTTCCTTCCCGGGCTGGCTTCTAACCCCGATCCTCAGGAATTAGAAGCATCACAGACACCAGGCAGCATGACCTTTACATGAAGCAGTGATTTCAAAAATTAAATCCACTGTGAATGCTTTAAGAAGCATTCAAAAGCAATGGAGCTAATAGCAAGACTTTCTGGAAGTGTATTGGCATTACAAAATGGCTTTGTACCACCCTGGGTTCACATCCCAATGACCCTGATACAATAATGTTTTAAAGCAGTATAATTTAATGTCAACTGTTTTTAAAAAAATAAAAGTAGGGGCTGGGAATGTGGCTCAGTGGTAGAGCGCTTGCCTTGCATGCATGAGGCCCTGCTTCGATTCCTCAGCACCACATTAGCAGAAAAAGCCGGAAGTGGCGCTGTGGCTCAAGTAAGTGGTAGCCAGCTTGCCTTGAGCTGCAGTGCTGAGGGACAGCGCCCAGACCCAGACTTCAGGCCCCAGGACTGACAAACTATAAAAATAAATAAAATAAATAAACAGAAATTTCAATAGCTGTTGTGTGAAGCCAATTTAAGGCCTTAGGAAAAGGACTCTGGGGGTTACTTTTGCCTTTTTCAAGCGATTACAGCAAAACATTGCTGTGAGTGCTGAATTGATGGCGTGCCCTTCAGAGCTGCCGCAGAGGTAATGAGAGCCTCACCTTGAAGCACTCCAGTCTTTTTTTTTGTCGGTCGTGGGGCTTGAACTCTGGGCCTGGCGCTGCCCCTGCGCTCTTCAGCTCAAGGCGAGCGCTCTACTGCTTGAGCCACAGCGCCACTTCCGGTTTTCTAGTGGTTTATTGGAGATAAGAGTCTCACGGACTTTCCTGGGCTGGCTTTGAACCACGATCCTCAGATCTCAGCCTCCTGAGTAGCTAGGGTGACAGGCGTGACTATTGGCGCCCGGCATAAGCACTTCATTCTTGAAGCCAGTGAAAGCAGAGCCATGTCCAGCAGAAGGGACCGCGCGGCGGGACCGCACTATCACCGGGGCCAGGCCGAGGGCGCGGGGTGACTTCCGCAGGCGCCTCGAGGTTATTGTGGGATTTTCAGCACCGTTCTCCCGCCAAGAATGCGGAATG